GAGAAAGCCTTTTAAGAAGCCATTGAATCAAAGCTTCAATCTTTATTTCTAGTTTTTTTCAGGTTAGTTTTCTCTGACTGTCTTTTAGGTTCTCCGAAATTCGCCTGATGTTTTTATAGATTTTCTCCCACTTATTCAATTAGCACACGATTGAACAAGTATGTATTAGGTTGGTGTCTTGTAGTCTATTGTCTGGGTTCCGATTATGTATTATTGCGCTATGTTGTGGTTATGCGTTTGGTTCCTTCAGTGGATTTTCTATTAATTGCAAACGATTCAGTTCCCATACTTTGGCGATTTGTTGAAAATCTATTTGGTTAGTTAGAAAACCCGAGAGGAATTTGTTTGTTTCTGGATTCTCTAGTGAGATTGTTTCGCTGAAAGATGATTAATGGGGGTTTGTCTTGATTCTTGCATCTGTTCATTGCTGCCTCTTATGTTAGATTAGCTGCAGTCTTGCAGAGGCTAAAACTAGATGGCGCCAAGAACATGTCATATACATTGTCTCAATATATAACTATGTTTTGCTGAGTTTGGCCTCACTGTTTTAAACTTTTTACAGGAACAATGTTCGAACCTGTTTCCTACAGTTCCTCCACTACTCCAGCTCCAGCTCCAGTCACTGTGATATGGGGTTTTGGCAATTCTTGGATCCCTGATGGGTATGACATCAAGACACTCAGGAGGAACATCGAAGTGGCCCTGAAGAAAAGAAATCCAGATTTTTTCATTGAGGAGCTGATTGCGATTGGAGCAGACTCGGGAGATAAGTATGAAGCGATTCTCACCTGTCCAGATATCAACTTTAAAGCCATCCCAAGAGACGTACGCAGGTGTGAACATATAACCACCGAACTCGATGTGATTATGGAGTTGTACCTGACGGCCTTACAGAAGAAGAAGTACGTCTTGGTGATTGCAGGAGAGGTGGATCTCCGTGGCTCCATTAAGGATGTGCAGGATGATAATGGCCTACACGTAATGATATCCCGACTTGAAGATTCGACTGGAGAACTACACAGAGGAGCCAAAGCGATTTGGATTTGGAAGTCTGATGATCCTAACAAAGCTACCATGGTAAACGGAGGTGCACCCATCCGTAGTATTAGAGGTTAGTATTATGAATTTACATATTTTTGCAGTATTTAGTTGTAATAATGTGTACTAACAGACAGAAGCTGATTTTGTATTGCCCATACAGGATGACCGTCTTTGAGCCGCCGGCAACCGAAGAGGAACAGCTTTGTGATTACAGTTTTAGTCAGCCTTGTGACATTTTATCTTATCTAGAGTATGTATGACTACAATTTAAGTTTGAGACTTTTTCTTTTCTCGCTCCTCTTGATCTAGTATTGACATCTTTTATTTGTATGAGTAAAAATGATTCGTATTTCACATCTGAGTGAACCTGTACTTCTCTAAATTTTCCTACTATATCATAGCATATCTTTTCAATAAACCTAATTACAAAAACAAATAAATAAAAACCCAAAAAATCCCTCGTGTATACCAACTTGAACCCCTCGATTATCTTAGAGACTCTGTGCTCGTAAACTTGGTCTCTCAAACCGGTTCAGGCTTGTTTGTTCATCAGATGTGTCACACAAGCAACCTGGAAGAGGGTTTGCATAAAAATTCTCCTGCCTTTCCTGGCCGTCTATGATACGGAGCTCCTAATCTTTTCCGATGTATTCTCTTAACCTCCGACGAGAAATCTTCCCTGGACATGAGTCCGGCATCGAGCCGATCAATCAGTTTCACGAATCTTAGCCTGAAAACAACAAAATAAAATACTATAGATCTCTCAAGACGCCGTTCTGTACCATCGATCACTTTTTCTTTCCAATGCGGAATGCTATATCTCATCTTCTCAAGATCAATCGATTCCTCCGCCGTTAAACTGTGGTTGCATCCGGTAAACGCCAACATATCTTTCTCATACCTAAAGGAACAGATCCCAAAAAGAGAAAACAGAGAAGTTGTTTTTGCAAATTAAAAATTTGATAAGAGTTACCTTAGACCAGGACACAGGATTCTTTTCAGGAGGCTGAATCGAAGCAAATTCATGCAGTAGATACTCGACGATATCCGCATCTTCGGCTAGCTCTTTGATGAAATGTTTCCAGTCAAAAATGTCCTTAAACGTGCTGACGAATGAATTACAGAGATGACTTATTATGATAAATGATGATGAATTTTGATGATGATTACCTTCGATCGCTCCAGAAAGATGAGTGGTGTCAAGAAAGGGAAGAACAAGAGTAGCGTTCATGATTTTGGCGATTGCGACCATATCGCATATCTGTGAAGAGGCGAATGAAGTGAGGAATTGAGAATATCTTAGCCAGAAAACTTAAGAGACGTACACCTTGGTTTTCTTGATTGGTCCTAAACCATAAATCGAATCCAAAACCGGTTATTAGGGTTTTTTTAACCGGTTAAAACAGAAATTGAGGAAACTTACTTTGGTTCTTAGGACGAGCTACGCATGTCTCATAGTTTCCAGTGTCTGGTTGATTCCAAATCTCTGGGATCTTTCGTTCAAAAAGGGAAAAGCACAGATAATGAAACAACAACGTTAGACTACCGACTAAGCCCAACGGGCCAACATACTACTAATAATACATACTCCCTTGATCGTGTATTTTTTTGGAGCTGTTATTTTATTGGTTGTCTACGAGGTTTTCCCTTGATGTCACAGAATCAAATATTATTTCAACAATTTTTTTTTGTTTATGTTTTGATTAAAATATTTAATACACAGTTTATTCAAAGTATTTTATGTGACATCTGAGTCGGTAAAATCTAACAGATAAACTAACATCATTACAACAAAATATAATTAACCAAATTTAATAATACTAGGTTTAAACCCACGCTACGCTGCAGTATACTATATCATACAAAAACTTAAACATGTTATATATATATATATATCTAGTTTTATGTTTTGATTAAAATATAGATTGAAAATGAATAAATTGTTAGTCAATATATCTTTTTGGTTCAAAATTTTCTCCCTCCATCCAATCAAATGACTTCTTCATACGTTTTTGTAGTTTTAGAGGTTTTGATTAAATGTTTTGCTTTCTACTCAAAATCAAATAAATTCTATATAATAGATTACATAAAATCAAAATAAAAATCAAATTATTTATTAAATATTAAAAGGTATACAGTAATTTTAGTCTAAAATCATGAATCATACAAAATTTATAAAATATAATTTCACGTGTTAGTATCTCATAAATTTCTTTATAATATTTATGTTTTGTTATTTATTTTTTTGAAAATTTTATGTTTTGTTATTAATCTGAAAGTTGGAAGAATATATTCTCAACTTCATCAAACTAATGTTTTGAATGTTTTATTTTCTTTGTCATAAGACAATAACTGAAAAAATAGGAAAAAATTACTTTGATATTATATTTTGTAAATTTGTCTAAAAACTAAATTTTTGAGTTTTAGTAAAAAAAATAAATATTTTAGTTATTTTGTTAGTTGTACATTTATCATATAAAAAGAAAATATTACTGAAATTATCATTTTATATGTATATATTTTCTAAATTTAATATATTTTTAATATAATAAAGTTCTTTCTATATCAAACTAAATGTATATTAGCAATCACCAAAATTATACAGACAAAAAGATCTATTGCATCATATTTATAAAACGATTTAGGAATTATCACCATCAAATCAATTCTAATAAATTTCTACTAAATAAAATTATATATATATATATATATATCAGCAGCAGATAAGACAACTTACTTGCTTGAAAGATATATAATTTATATCCATAGGCAAGAACGCATGAATATAGAAGCAAAAACCACAACATTAATAACATACTGTAAAACATAAGTTCATAACGACCATACAGATCTTCGTCTTGTACCACATAAATTAGTTGAAATGATGAATGACATTATATTGTAATATGAATTAGTGAAGAAAAATGAATCTTACAGCTTTTGCAAATTATGAAAGCCAAATATTAGAATAAATCAATCTTAATATACCACAAACAATGTAAATCGAGTCTGTAAAAAGTGAGATTGCAATCATTTTGAATAGAAAAATATGGGAGAGATATTTAGAGGGCTAAGAATTGTTATCACGGGTTGGATCCGCTCTGCCAGACCTGGCCCCGTAGAGTTTTTTTTTTCTTGACCCATTTTGATCCGTTCCACAAAGTTTTTAAACATAAAAAATTTGACCTGCACTCGCTCTATTTGAATTAGCGGATACTCATGAGTAACCTCTAAATATATAAATAAAAAATAAATTTATTTTTATATAATTTTAGTAAACAATACTTAATAAAAAATCTAATATGATAAAATGTAAATATAAAACTTATTTTTGAAATCTAAAATAATTTTTTTGCTAAGTTTAATATATATTACATAATATTTCAAAATATTTTATATACAAATATTTATCATTAATATTTTTTTCTTTTTTTTAATTAGCGGATAATCCACAAACCCACAAAATATAATTATGATACCCGCACTCATTCTTGTAAAAATACCCACTCCGCAAAACTCGTAATTTTGCAAAATGATTTTTTTACCTGCATCCGCACCATAGCGGGTCAAGCGGGGCGGGACCCATTGTTTATAAACATTCATTAAAGCATTTTTTTTTTAACTCTAAATATCTGCGAATGATTTGTAGATGTCAATCCTCTTACGACATTGCAAATGGATCACTAATCTGCGGTATATTAATCTCCAAATCATCATGAAATTTTTAAATATTTTGTCAACTCAGTTAATCCATAATTTTTATTCTTCTGAAAAGTCCTTATTTGGATATAATATGGATTTAATATACTTTGCAGAGCTAGTTATATCAGATTTTCTTATATATCATCTTTAAATAGAAATGAATAATTTGCATACACACTTTTAATAATAAATATAGAAAACAATATACATTAGATTTGTATACAATGTATGTTTTTAGTTATTAAAAAATGATAATGCTTTTATCTTTGGTTGTAGATAGATTTAGTTTTAAACTTTCACAAGTTACATTCAGAATAAATTTTAATACTACAAAATTCATTTTTGTGTTTTTTGCGTCCACAGTTTCTAATTGCCATTCTTACTAAGTCAACCCAATTATTGACTTTTTCCGACCGAAATCGATTTGAACAAAATACAAATACACACAGACCTTAGTGTCGGGATCATGAGAGACAAACCTTAGGTTGCTTCAGAAAAGCTTATTTGATATAAATTGTTGACAATCACCTACTTCTGGCACCGTTGTTGACAGCTCCTGCCATTGGACTCCGTCGCTTTCCGCCTCACTCCTCGCTCCATATTTCACCGCCAAGTCCTTATGAAACATCTCCGTTCGTCCTCATGGCTCCAACACCATGCCTCACCAAGAGATCGACTTGATGAAAAGTCGTGAAGAAAGTCATACATCCGAAATCTTCTGGTGGTTTAGGTTTGCAGCTTCCCCTTATGGTCTGGTTCCTTGATGTTCTGAAGAATCGGCTTTAGTGTCTTCAATGGGCTTTAGCTTCCCCACATTTCTTTTTAATTCACAAGTTTTTGTAATTACATTATGCACGCACACATTTTCTTATTAATGGACTTGCTTTTAGCTAATGGCAATTCATGCTCTCTATAAGCTTATGTATAATATAATCTATCAAAATCAACACTCTCTTTAAAGACAATATTCCAGGTTGTAACTATAGTGAATATCAGCAAAAGTTTTCAATACTTTGAGTCAAAGATTTGCAAAAGAAACTAAAGCTAATATAGAATCACCTTTTGTCTATCTATGGATATTGGTAAATGCCTCTGGTCTAAAATTGGTAAATACATCTGGTCTAGAATCGATAACACCACTGGCCATTCCCACATCAACCTTCCATATGCAGCAATCATATTCACTATCAACCAAAACCCATAATTCATTTTAGGCTTGTATAGATCTTGTGATTAATTCATTTTGACAATTGATTTTCCCAAATGTACCAGTTTACGCGGATAATTGGAGAGTATGCCCGACCACCATAGCCTTCGCACCGGCAGCTTCAAGAGTGTCCCGGAGAATTTTACCAACCTGATTAGAAAAGAACCTAAGGAACATATTAAATTCAAGCTGATGATGATATATAACAGTTTCGAGGGGTTTGGTGATTCAGTTTCCATTTGCCTGTTGACCTTGATAGTCATCCATATGAGAGGTCTCTCTTGAGTAAAGTCGGCTCTAGACTACACTGTCATATCCCCGAGTTGCAATGAATGGCATCTGAGGACTCTCTTCATAGTCGCCAGCAGAGCTTCTTATCCAAGTAGAGACTTCTCTGTTTATCCTCTCTACGGTGTATGCAACTGTGAAAAGTACATAAATAAGTAAGGAGATCAAATGCAGAAGAACACATCTCTCAACACAGAGAGGAGAAGTGGAGATAAGGAACATAGTTAATAAGTTAATAAAACGTTAAGTGGTATCAGTTAATAAAACGTTGTCCCATTGCATCTTACCGTCAAAAAGCCACTCGCGAAAGGAGACCACCGTGGCAGAAAACCCGCAGGATAACTCCATGATGCGAAAATTCACAGGCGGATCGGCCACCTGGTCTGAGAAGAACCGAGCTTGCAATCACTCCCTTTTGCCTCTGTTCTAATAGTTTTCCACATGTTATCATCAGTAAAATTTCTAAAACTTTGAATAGTATAAAATTACAGCGACACGGAGAGAAATCGAATCAAAGATTACTTAAGGAAGACCTTGGATTGTTTCAGAAAAGCTGATTTGATATAAATTGATTGTTGACAATCACCTACTTCCGGCACCGTTGTTGACGGCTCCCTTCTGGTGGTTTAGGTTTGCAGCTTCCCCTTATTGTCTGGTTCCTTGATGTTCTGAAGAATCGGCTTTCGTGTCTTCAATCGGCTTTTGATTTCACGGTACATTACCAATATCAGGTTAAGGGATCCGCAGCTTTTAAGAAAGGGAAAGAAGGTGGAGAGGACGAAGATAATCTGGAGATGATACGGCATCACATGTAACAATAAAACTTTTTTCATTAACATGATGTATATTAATAAAATGTTCTCATTGGTTTAAAATTTTGATTAGGTGTCAACTTGAAAGAGATTGAAAATGCTGAGGTGTCCTCTTTTGGAGAGACATATGAGTTATTATTGTGTTGATTAGGTATTAATCCGTGCTATACTGCGAAATATTCTTTGATATTTTGTATATATTTTTATATAATAAAATTATTTTTATAATAGAAATAGATATTATATTTATTTTTTATTAGCTTAAGTTATGTATTTATATGTTTTAAATCTCAATAAACATTATATATCCTTAATTTTTTTATTTTTCAAAAGTATAATTTAATATCAAATTTATTTAGCTAATTATTTATAAATGTATATGTAAGAATAAAACAATACATTTTTAAGTACCTTCATGCTAATGGCAAATGTAATTTATTTTTTCTACTAAATTGCCACTTGATCGTCATTTGAAATTATATAAAGCAAATTACCATTTAAAAACAATTATTAATTAATATGATTATTTTGAATTATAAAATTTATTTATTTATTAAATATTTATTATAAACATATGTTTCTAAAACTACCAAACTATAATCAATAACATTCATATCAAAACTATTGCTATTGCTTTAGAACTAAATAGAAAATTATGTTTGAACTATTGAAATATCATTTTAGTTGAAGTTAAATAATTCAATTTTGGTTATTATAAACATATTGTAATTTAAAAAATTAGTACAGAGAAATTTTTATCTTTTTACAAAAACAGAAAAAATTGCATTTTCTGACAAAACAAAAAAGAATTCAGTTTCCCGCGAGAACCTGTGTTTCTGCCAAAACAAAGAAATCAAGGTTTTTCACCAAAACAAAAAAACTTCATCTTCTAGCAAAACCAAAAATCGTATTTTCCCGTCAAAACTAAAAAAAAAATATTTTTCCGTAAAAACCGAAAAATCGTCTATTTCTGCCAAAACAAATAAAAAAAATATTTTCCTCTCAAACCAAGAATCACGTCTTCCTACCAAAACCGATAAACTACAATTTTCTGCGAAAACAAAAAATTGCATTACCTGAGAAATTGCGTTTCCCACGAAAACTAACAAATCACATTTTCCCGCGAAAACCAAAATATCACTATATATGTCAAAAACTGAAAATTTGCATTTCCTATCAAAACCGTGAAATTGTTTATTCCCGCCCAAAATCAAAAAATTTTGTTTTCCCATCAAACCGAGAAATTGTATTTTCCGCCAAAATTATCAAATTACAATTCTCGTGAAAATCAAGAGATCACATTATCCATCAAAAGCCAAAAATTTGCATTTCCTATCAAAACTGAGAAATCGTATTTTTTGTCAAAATTGAAAAGTTGCATTTCCCTCGTATTTTCTCGTCAAAACTAAGATATTTTTTTTCGTGTCAAAATAAAAAAAAAAATTCTCACCAACACCAAAAATTCACATTTTTTCCGCAAAACCCGATAATTCGTTTTTTCCGTCCTAACCGAGAAATTATGTTTTCCTACCAAAACTGAAAATTATATTTTCCTACCGAAACAAAGAAATTCTCTATTCCCGCCAAACCCAAGAAAATGTGTTCTCGGTAACCACCGGAAATGCAAATCTCCAAGCTGTGGTGGTCTGAGCTTCTCCTCATTTGCTTTCGACTTCTATTTTTTTGTAAACTTTGGGCTTTTTAACGGATTAGCAAAATAGTAAACTGATTTTATTAGTGTGTTAATAATATGTATTATTGTTATGTTTTTATTGGTTCAAATTTTTGCTGATGTGTGAGCTTCTTATAACATAACGTTTTTTGCGTTGTTGTTATGGAAGCATATTTGATGATAAATCTATACTTTCTTCAATCATATACGTCTCTATCAAGCAAACACATAGTTAGAAATTTTAATTTTTTTTTTGCTGTTATTTATTATTTGAATTTCGGTTTGGCAAAAAAATAAAACAAATATTTAATTTATTTTATTTGTTGTTATTTATTATTTATATTTGGGGATAGTAAAAAATAAAACAATTATTTTATCTGCAGTTATTTATTATTTGGGATTGAGTTTGGCAAGAAAAAACAAAGATTAACAAAGAAAAATATTTGGGTTTTTAATGGGTTTAAGTTAAAAATAATAAAAGTTAGTAAATGATGTGTATTAATAAAATGTTTTGATTGATGTTTTTTTTTTGCTGAGGTGTCAGCTTTATAATATTTGAAAATGCTGATGTGGCAAGCTATGGAGAGACACTTGTGTTATTATTGTGTTGATCCCAAGTGTCTTCTTAGGTGGTGTATTCTCAAATCTTCAAATTCTTTCTTTTCTAGAAAGGCTTGGTGAAGATTGTATTATGTTTATGGTCAAAGAAATCCTTCATACTAATCATTCTCGTCAAAATTGTTTTTAAATCATTGGTTTTCTAATATGTTAGATCAATACTGAATGACATATGATACCTTCGCAGAAACTGTTTTTAAATCATTGGTTTTATAATGTAAATGAATATTATATTTTATTTTTTTATTAGCTTAAGCTATGTATTTATATGTTTTAAATCTGAATAAACATTATATATCCTTAATTTTTTATTTTTCAAAATTACAATCTACTATGAAAATTGTTTAGCTAACTATCTATAAATGTATATGTAAGAATAAAACAATACATTTTAAGTACCTTTCATACTAATGGCAAATATAATTTATTTTCTCTACTAAATTGCCACTTAATCCTCCTTTGAAATTATATAAAGCAAATTGCCATTTAAAAAAAACAATTATTAATTAATATGATTATTTTAAAATATAAAATTTATTTATTTATCAAATATTTATTATAAACATATGTTTCTAAAACTATCAAACTATAATCAATAACATTCATATCAAAACCATTGTTATTGCTTTAAAACTAAATAGAAAGTTCTGTTTGAACTGTTGAAATATTAATTTAGTTAAAGTTAAATAATTTAATTTTGGTTACTATAAACATATTGTAACTTGAAAATTTAGCACAGAAAATTTTTATCTTTTTACAAAAACTGAGAAATTGCATTTTTCGACAAAACAAAAAGATTACATTTTCCCACGAAACTGAGAAATTGTCTATTCCCGCTGAAACAAAAAAAAAAATCATTTTCTCGTCAAACCTGAAACTTCATTTTCCTACCAAAACAAAAAAAATTGCATTTTCCCGCAAAAATCAAAAAATCACATTTTTCCACGAGAACATGTGTTTTCATGCAAAAACAGAGAAATCAAGTTTTTCACCAAAACCAAAAAATTTCATTTTCCTACAAAAACAAGAAAAAAATCGTATTTTCCTATCAAAACCGAAAAAAAAAAATTTCCGCAAAAATCGAAAAATCGTCTATTTCCGCCAAAACAAAAAACAAATTATTTTTCTCGTCAAACCAAGAATCACACATTCCTACCAAACCCGATAAACCATAATTTCCTGCGAAAACTAAAATTTGCATTATCTCCTGAGAAATTGTGTTTCCTGCGAAAACTAAAAAATTACATTTTCCCGCGAAAACCAAAAAATCACATTATATGTCAAAAACAGAAAATTTGTATTTTCCATTAAAACCGAGAAATTGTTTATTCCCGCCAAAATCAAAATTTTTTGTTTTCCCATCAAACCGAGAAATTGCATTTTTGCCAAAATTGTCAAATTACAATTTTTCCGTGAAAACTAAGAAATCACATTTTCCCGCGAAAATCAAGAAATCACATTATCCATCAAAAGCCGAAACTTTGCATTTCCTATCAAAACTGAGAAATCATATTTTTCGTCGTATTTTCTCGTCAAAACTAAGATATTTTGTTTTCACGTCAAAATCAAAATTTTTTTATCATCAAAACCAAAAATTCACATTTTTCTGCCAAACCCGAGAATTTTTTTTTTTTGCTATTACCGAGAAATTATGTTTTCCTACCAAAACTGAAAATCACATTTTTCTAACGAAACCAAGAAATTCACTATTCCCGCCAAACCCAAGAAAATTTGTTCTCGATAACCACCAGAAATGCGAATCTCCAAGTTGTGGTGGTTTGAGCTTCTCCTCATTTGCTTTTGACTTTAATTTTTTTGTAAACTTTGGGCTTTTTAATGGGTCAGCAAAATAGTAAACTGATTTTATTAATCTGTTAATGATATGTGTTATTGTTATGTTTTTATTGGTTCAAATTTTTGCTGATGTGTGAGCTTTTTATAACATAACGTTTTTTGTGTTGTTGTTATGGAATTATAGTTGATAATGAGTCTACACTTTCTTCAGTCATATATATCTCTATCAAGCAAACACATAGTTAGAATTTTTTTTTTTTTTTGTTGTTATTTATTATTTAAGTTTCGGTTTGGCAAAAATATAAAACAAAGATTAAATTTTTTTTGTATTATTTATTATTTAGATTTGGGGATGGTAAAAAATAAAACAATTTTTAATTTGCTGTTATTTATTATTTGGGCTTAGGTTTGACAAAAATAAAATAAAAATTAACAAAGAAAAATATTTGAAGTTTTAATAGGTTTAAGTTAAAAATAATAAAAGTTAGTTGATTATATGTATTAATAAAATGTTTTTATTAGAGTTTTTTTTGTTGAGGTGTCAACTTTAAAAAGTTTGAAAAAACCGATGTGTCATTGGAGAGACTTGAGTGTTATTGTTGTATTGATTAAATATGAATTGATTTAAAAATATTATTGATGTATAAATTACCATGGTAGATTGGTAGTAGAGTTGATGTATGAATCGGCCTTTTTTGTACTCTTTGATGTAAATATAAAAAAAAACGAAAGTCCCCATTGTTGCTAAAACGCGTCTTGTAATTCGCTGGTCCCTTCTCCTATGCGATAAACAAGTTTCAAACCCAGATCTTTGGCCTTATAAAACACTTATATTATTTTTTATTCTTCATTAGATTTTTTATTCTTTTTAAACCCTCCTTGTCTTTGAAGATGATGACATCTCAGCCCTTTTTTATAAGAGATTTTTCATCTCTTCTTTACTTGCAATCAATCATGTGTTTTTTTTTCTATGATTTTTTTTTATGAGTAGTATAAGTTAAACGTTTTAAAATTTAGAGATGTATGATGTATAGAGAACTCACACATCACAAGAACTAGATGGAATTAATTATTAATCAAATGTTGTTTTCAAACTTGAATTAAAGTTTTTGTAAATTGTGTGTGACACCACTTTAACAAAAGCAAGTAGCAGCTAAAGCAGAAAAGGTGAAACCGATGCCTTTAATTTCCGGAATGAAGAAAAAAGAAAAAGCTAATTCGAATATCAAATAAAGAAAGACAAATCCTATGTGACTATTGCAGAGTTTCGACTTTTTATGGGAAAAGCTAATACAATTTGGAGTCTTTGCTCACTGCATTCTCTTCACACAAATTCTCCTTCGTTTCTCGTGAGCCTCAAAGCAAAAAAAAGTTATTAATTTTGTATATATTTATAAAAAAGTAAGAGCATCGATGTTCTTGTGATCTTCTTCAATGGGTCTATGCTCAGCTCAACTGACTGTAACATGCTTGTTCTTCATAGTAGTACCTCATGTTCTGTCCCAAGTTGCAGGTACATTCTGCTCACAATCTGTTTGTTTAAATGCTCCAAAGAGTTCTTTTTTCTCGAAAAGTCGTCTTCTTGCTGTGTTCAAGAACATGTTTTTGATGTATAATCGAAAAGCTTTCTCTTCATGGTTTCAAATTCTTCAATTCTATAATCTTTTTGGTTAAAATTTTCCATTTGAAAGAATTGTGTAATTAAGTTCTCTTGTTGAGATTTTTGCTGTAACTAGTGGAAAACGAAGTGTTATCTTAATGAATGACTATTATTTGCAGAGTTTGTAAGTATAGATTGTGGTGGCTCAAGTAACTACACGGACCCGAGAACTGGACTAGGATGGGTTTCAGATTCAGAGATCATCAAACACGGAAAGCCAGTTACTTTGGCCAGTACCAATGGGAACTCGATGCAGTACAGTAAGAGAAGAGATTTTCCAACGGATGACAAGAAGTATTGTTACAGACTCAGCACCAAAGAGAGGAGGAGATACATTGTCAGGACAACATTTTTCTACGGTAGCTTGAGTAGTGAAGAAGCAAACCCAAAGTTTCAACTCTACTTAGATGCAACGAAATGGGCCACAGTGATGATTCAGGAGGGCTCTAGGGTTTATGTTGAGGAATTGATCGTGAGGGCAACTTCAGGTTATGTGGATGTCTGTGTATGCTGTGCTCTCACCGGCTCTCCTTTCATGTCCACTCTCGAGCTTCGACCGTTGAACCTTTCGATGTATGCCACTGATTACGAGGATAATTTCTTCTTGAAGGTTGCTGCCAGAGTGAATTTCGGTGCTCCAAGCATGGATGCCTTGAGGTATAACCCTGTTTACAACTCTTCTTTCCGTTACATAATTCACAAGAATACCTTGCAAGCATCGGAAAAATGCTGAAAGACTTTCTCTTTTAGGTACCCAGATGATCCATATGACAGAATCTGGGAGTCAGATGTTAATAAACGGCAAAACTTTCTTGTTGGTGTGGCTCCTGGAACGATACGAGTCAATACATCAAAGACTATAAATACTTTGACTAGAGAGTATCCGCCTATGAAAGTCATGCAAACAGCAGTAGTTGGAACGCAAGGACTGATCAGCTATAGATTAAACCTGGAAGACTTCCCTGCCAATGCTCGGGCGTATGCTTACTTTGCTGAAATTCAAGACCTTGGTGCTAATGAAACCCGGAAGTTTAAGCTGGTGCAACCATACTTCCCTGATTATAGCAATGCGGTGGTGAATATTGCTGAGAATGCCAATGGGAGCTATACTCTCTATGAACCAAGCTACATGAATGTGACTTTTGATTTTGTTCTGTCATTCTCGTTTGGGAAGACAAAGGATTCTACACGAGGGCCACTCCTAAACGCAATTGAAATCAGCAAGTATCTTCAAATATCCAGGAAAACTGATAGGAATGATGGTGAGTACTAGAGGCTATACTGCCTTGTAAATTCTTCTCTATATCAAAATTTGTTGAAAAGAGCTTACAGAATTCTTCTAATTCTGCAGTGTCTGTTCTTGATGCAATTCGTTCGTTGTCCCCTGATAGCGACTGGGCCAATGAAGGCGGAGACCCTTGTATCCCAGTTCTTTGGTCGTGGGTAAACTGTAGCTCAACCTCACCACCTAGAGTCACGAAACTGTAAGATCCACAAAACAAAGTTATACATAAGTAAACAGAGTTTGTGAAATTTTTATTCATGAGATAATGCATATTGACCCTGTTGTGTGCATCTTACAACAGTGCTCTATCAAGCAAAAATCTGAGAGGTGAGATTCTGCCTGGGATCAATTATATGGAGGCATTGACTGAGCTGTGAGTGGTTCGACGCTGCATTAAAAATATATTGTCTTGGATTAGTCTCTCTGTGATTCGTCGAGTAAGCATGCTCTTTTATAGGTGGCTGGACGGTAATGGTTTGACTGGTGTCCTTCCAGACATGAGCAAACTTGTCAATCTGAAAATCATGTAAACTTCCCAATAAGATGCAGAAACTTACCAATATCCTTCTTATAGCGTATGACACTCGAATTCCAGAAAGTTTTACTTTGCCTCGTTTCTTCTACAGGCATCTAGAAAACAACCAACTTAGTGGCTCACTCCCACCATACCTTGCCCATCTGCCTAACCTGCAAGAACTGTATGTAAAACACAAAGTTTGTGAAGCATTTTGGTTGCTTTAGCGATTGACTTAGACTGATACCTCGGCTGCAGTTATCCACTCTATACATGGCAGGTTTAACAAATGTTATATATTATCTGACAGGTTTATCGAAAATAATTCTTTCAAAGGAACGATTCCTTCAGCACTGTTAAAGGGGAAAGTTTTGTTCAAGTGAGTATGCTTACACGTACAAGTTGATTTTTTTCGAACACAAGCTCACAGCTTTTCAGCATTTGCACCGAAAGATAGATTTACAGATTTGAGTTCAACATGAGTGTTGGAACTTTTTAGTGCATATATTGCAGGAAATGAATTACTATACCACAATTTAAAGTTTCCATTTTGTTTATAGAGTTTCCTCTTGAAGTTGCTAACACGCAGCTTCAACATCTTTTTCTGCAGGTATAGTAATAATCCTGAGCTTCAGAACGAGGTACAGCAAAAGCACTTTAGGCTGATACTGGGAATATCAATAGCTGCTGTCGCAATCCTATTGCTGCTACTCGGGGGAAGTCTTGTTTTACTATGTGCCCGTCGAAAGACAAAAAGCGCTGGTAAAGGTATATATATATAGTTTTAATTGTTATCAGGTTTCTCCCAGGTGGAAGATCGTCTTACTCATGTTTCTTCAGGTGATACCACGGGGACTAAGAAGAAAGGTTTGTCAGCTTATGCCGCTGTGCGTGGCGGACACTTATTAGATGAAGGTGTAGCATATTTCATATCGCTTCATGTGCTCGAAGAGGCCACCGAGAATTTTTCAAAGAGAGTTGGAAAAGGAAGCTTTGGGTCTGTCTACTATGGTAGGATGAAAGATGGGAAAGAAATTGCAGTCAAGATAACGGCGGATCCTTCTAGCTACCTGAACAGGCAATTTGTGACTGAGGTATTAACGTACTTCAAATGCTGATTCTGGCTTTTTGGTGCCCCAAAGATTCTTAATAAGACTGGTTATAACTGGGAGAATCGTGCAGGTTGCTCTGTTATCAAGAATTCACCACAGGAACTTGGTCCCTTTGATTGGATACTGTGAAGAAGCAGATCGGCGTCTATTGGTTTACGAATATATGCACAATGGAACCTTAGGAGATCACTTACACGGTTTTTACTTTTTACCAATTTCTTAAAATAATTCTCCTGCTTAAGTTTGGCTTTTTATTCTGTGAATGGCTCATGAAATCAATCCCTCACAGGTTCAAGCGACAACAAACCATTAGACTGGCCGACTCGGCTACAAATTGCACAAGACGCTGCTAAAGGTTTGTCGTAAAAATTCAAGATTAGTATCTATAGACTGGCTATAATATGAATCCATTGGACAGACGAAACTTCAGGTTTATTACAGGTCTTGAATACTTGCATACTGGCTGCAATCCTAGTATCATTCACAGGGATGTGAAATCAAGCAATATACTCCTGGACATTAACATGAGAGCCAAAGTTTCCGACTTTGGACTCTCGAGACAAACAGAGGAAGACTTGACTCACGTATCCAGTGTCGCAAAAGGGACCGTTGGATACCTTGATCCAGAGTAAGAACAGAGCCAACAATAACACATCCTCGCAGAAAAAAAAACAGAGTCTTCCATTGTTATGAACTTTTGACTGATACGGCATTGCTTTGACAGGTATTATGCTAGTCAGCAGCTCACTGAGAAGAGCGATGTCTACAGTTTCGGCGTCGTTCTCTTTGAATTACTCTCTGGAAAGAAACCAGTCTCAGCGGAAGATTTCGGTCCTGAACTGAATATAGTTCATTGGGTAAACAAACAAACACCTCTATATCATTTCCAAAGTTTTCACCTTTTGTTCACAGTTCAACAAACGCTACGTTTCTTGTTAACCCAACAGGCAAGATCACTGATCCGTAAAGGAGACGTGTATGGGATCATAGATCCATGTATATTAGGCAACGTGAAGATCGAGTCGATCTGGAGAGTAGCAGAGGTCGCGAACCAATGCGTTGAGCAGCGTGGGCATGCGAGGCCAAGGATGCAGGAAGTGATAGTGGCGATACAGGACGCGGTTAGGATCGAGAGAGGAGGAAACGAGAACGGGCTAAAGTCATCGTCTTCGAGCGGCTCGAAGGCGCAGTCATCCCGTAAGACCTTGCTCACCAGCTTCCTCGAGATAGAGAGCCCTGACATCTCGAGAAACAGCTTAGCTCCAGCTGCTAGGTGAGTGAGTGAGTCGTCCTCTTGGAGTCTCAAGCTCTCATCGTCACATATATGAATGTGTGTTTGTAATGTAATGTACGTAGTGTGTATTTGAAAGTATCACACACTTCTCACGTAGATGACGATGTAATTGATTATAAAAAAAAAGTTTTTTTTTTGCTTCCTTTTGTGCCATTTTGCGATCACTTAAACTTGTGGATAAGAAATATCATACGTAGACGAAGCAGAAGCAAGACGCTTGAGGATATAGCTCCAAAAGAGATTCAGAATTTGAGAAAAAAAAGTTAAAGACCCTTTTCTTCTTCTTCTTCTTCTTCCTCGTTTCTCATTTGTAAAACTCTCTCTCTCTCTTTCTCTCAAAATTCAATTCGAATTTGACTTCATCCCAGTGTCGACGAAGAAGAAGAAGCAGAGCTCTAATGGCTTCGAATTCGTTACGTTCTTCGAATTTCTTCGGATCCAATATCATAATTTCATCCCCCACACCTAAAACCATAGCAAAGCCTTCGTTTCCCTTCTCCTCGTTCTCCCGTAGAAAGCACCTGATTACTCGATCGGCTTTGCAAATCGAAGACAACGGAAAACCCATAAACTCATTGCCGTCGCGAGCAGCGTTAGCCGCTATTCTTTTCTCATCGATTTCTTCGTCACCGCAGGCTTTAGCCTTGGACGAACCGGTTGCGGCTACCCAAACCGTCGTTGTTGAAGCTCAAGCAGTGAAGCCGTCGCCGACGGCGTCGCTGTTCGGTGAGAATCAGGCGATTACGGCGCCTAATCCGAAATCCCAATCATCATCGGGTCTTCTCCCTGAGGGAACTCAATGGCGGTACAGCGAGTTCCTAAACGCCGTGAAGAAAGGTCAAGTGGAGAGAGTCAGGTTTAGCAAAGACGGTACAGTTCTTCAGCTCACCGCCGTCGATAACCGTCGCGCCTCCGTCGTCGTCCCTAACGATCCGGATCTTATCGACATCTTAGCCATGAACGGAGTCGATATATCCGTCTCTGAGGGAGAATCATCCGGTAACGACTTGTTCTCTATCATCGGAAACTTGATTTTCCCGATCTTGGCCTTTGGTGGTCTCTTCTTACTCTTCAGGGGAGCTGGAGGCGGTCCCGGTGGCCCTGGAGGTTTAGGTGGTCCAATGGATTTCGGACGATCGAAATCGAAGTTCCAGGAAGTGCCGGAAACTGGAGTTTCATTCGCAGATGTTGCTGGTGCTGATCAAGCTAAGCTTGAGTTACAAGAAGTTGTGGATTTCTTGAAGAATCCAGATAAGTACACAGCTTTGGGTGCTAAGATTCCTAAAGGGTGTTTGCTAGTTGGACCTCCCGGTACGGGTAAGACCCTCTTGGCCAGAGCGGTGGCTGGAGAAGCAGGAGTGCCGTTCTTCTCATGCGCGGCTTCAGAGTTTGTGGAGCTTTTTGTTGGTGTGGGTGCGTCTAGAGTCAGGGATCTGTTCGAGAAGGCGAAGGCGAAAGCTCCTTGCATTGTTTTCATCGATGAGATTGACGCTGTGGGAAGGCAAAGAGGAGCTGGGATGGGAGGAGGAAACGATGAGAGGGAACAGACGATTAATCAGCTGTTGACTGAGATGGATGGGTTTTCTGGAAACTCCGGTGTGATTGTTTTGGCAGCTACGAATAGACCGGATGTTCTTGATTCTGCGTTGTTGAGGCCTGGAAGGTTTGATCGGCAGGTGACGGTGGATAGGCCTGATGTGGCTGGGAGAGTCAAGATTCTTCAGGTTTTTGATTTAGCTGTTTATATAAAAGCTTTTGTGGTTGTCTCTGGAGTTATGTGAATGTGAGTGACTCTAATGGGGTTTGGTTTTGAGTGTAGGTTCATTCTAGGGGGAAGGCACTTGGTAAAGATGTGGACTTTGACAAGGTTGCAAGGAGGACTCCTGGTTTCACTGGTGCTGACTTACAGAACCTGATGAATGAAGCAGCGATTCTTGCGGCAAGGCGTGAGCTTAAGGAGATAAGCAAGGACGAGATCTCTGATGCTCTTGAGAGGATCATTGCTGGACCTGAGAAGAAGAACGCTGTTGTATCTGATGAGAAGAAGAGACTTGTTGCATACCATGGTTAGCATTGGTTTCTCTGACCTATATGTTGAGACCAGTTTGGTTTCTTGGTTTTTTTTCTCTGACAGCTCCATGTGAAATTTCGAATCTTGCAGAGGCTGGGCATGCTCTAGTCGGTGCTCTTATGCCGGAATACGACCCAGTCGCCAAGATCTCCATCATTCCTCGTGGACAAGCTGGTGGGCTTACCTTCTTCGCCCCGAGTGAAGAAAGACTCGAGTCTGGATTGTACAGTAGGAGCTACCTCGAGAATCAAATGGCTGTTGCACTTGGAGGAAGGTTCGTTAGTAATGTCATCGACACAAAAGGGTTCTTGATTGTGCTAAAAGCTAAAACCATCTCTCTCTTGTTTCAGAGTTGCAGAGGAAGTGATCTTTGGTGATGAGAATGTGACGACAGGAGCATCAAACGATTTCATGCAGGTGTCTCGAGTGGCTCGTCAGATGATTGAGAGATTTGGGTTCAGCAAAAAGATTGGACAAGTCGCCGTTGGTGGCCCCGGAGGAAACCCCTTCATGGGTCAACAAGTATGAATCTTGGTTTCTTGGTTTCACCATTAGCGTTCTTGATTTGGAGGTGTTACTTAATATCCATGAAATGTGTTTTTTCTCTTGCAGATGTCTTCACAGAAAGACTACTCAATGGCGACTGCAGATATCGTAGACGCCGAGGTGCGAGAGCTGGTGGAGAAGGCGTACAAGAGAGCAACGGAGATCGTAACAACTCATATTGATATCCTACACAAGCTTGCGAACCTTCTGATCGAGAAAGAAACTGTTGACGGTGAAGAGTTCATGAGCCTCTTCATCGACGGCCAAGCTGAGTTGTATGTTTCTTGATTTCACCAATTTCATAAGTTTTAACATTGCTTATACATTACCATTAGCTATTGTTAATGTATACTAGACCAATGCTCGCTCGTATATATATATATGTTTTCTTCTTCACCTATTCACCTTCCCTCTCTGTTTAATACTCATACTTATGAATCTAACTATAAAGAATGCCGAAGCAATATCTCTTAACAACTTGTGAAACTTTTTGATACATATGATTTGGGTTCATGTACGTCTTTGATCTATTCTTCAAGTATACACAAATCATTTGTAGTGTACAATGTGTTCAGATTATGAAATGAGCCTCTTGTCTTCCAAGATCGAGGCTTCTTTAAGCATCGAAGCTGAGTCTTCGAGCATGTTCAGCTTGGCAAGAGCCACGGCCTGAAGGTAAAACGCAGTGGGCCATTCGGGATAGACGCACTGTACTTGCATCGCATCTCTGAGCGCTGCATCTGGCTTGTCGCAGAAGAGATGACACACGCTTCTTCTTGCGTAAACAGTGGGAGAGATCATGATCCCTGTTTCTAGGAACTGCGTGTATTTCTCGATAGCGGATTCGAATTCCTTGTTCCGAAAAGCAGAATCGCCTTGCTGCCTTGTGTTCCACACGTCTTTTATCTGATGAGCCCATTGCTGAAAAGAGAGCTCACAAGTAGCCTCGTCGTCTTTGTACTCCGTTGCTTCAAGAATCTGATGTAGAGCTGTGAGGTCCATACGGTGACACGCATCGTAGATTAGAGAGCTCTTTGGTTCCGTATCAGGGGTTTCCAGTTTCAAGATCCCGAGCATTGTATAGGACGGAACATCTAGTTTGTGTTGAAGTGTAGCAAGAACTGAGACGATAGCTTTAATCTCAGGCCGGTCCTTAGGGTTATTCAGGAGGCATTTAGAAGCCAAATCAAATACTGTAGCTGCATCTTCATCTGGATAGTTTCCTTCTAGGTGTGAATCTATAAAGACAGGTAAGTTTTGCTTCTGAATTGTGTCAACCGCCTGAAAAAAGAGAGAAGACATATCAATTTTTAACAGATAACACCAAAGCCAATTTACTTGGAGAAGAAGGTAATAATGGTCACTCACATGACTTGGAGGGACATGTTTGCCACTAAGAAGATCCAAAAGAAACGTCCCAAAACTGAAGACAACACTCTCTGGTATTAACGTACCTAACGAATATATATTACACATCATTCGCCACCAAAAAAAAAAACATGCAAAACTTCTTACGAATCTGATAAAATGTTTTGAGAACAAAATGTTTACCATTTTTAAGATACTCAGGCGGTGTATAAGCGAGATTCGTGCTGAAGTTTTTGCCATCTTTGCTATCTTTCATCCATCCAAAACATGAAAGCCGAGGATTCCCATTCTGCCTGACGAAAAATCTTAGCCCTTTCTCACCAAAACACCATTAAAAGATATGTGCAAAGGGAAGTTATATATTACCTCATCGAAGAGAACCCTATAAGCATTGAGATCATGGTACAGTTTGTGTCCACTCTGTCTGCAATATTCTAAAGCTTCAGCTACATAAAGTGCAACTCTCAATCGCATATCCCACTCCATTGTTTGTTTCTCCCCTGTAAACTCAAGCAAGAAAAGACAAAAGCTTGTCACACAAGTAAACACAAATTTATACAAAACAGTGAAAGAAGAAGATAAGTTTTTAGGGATTATCATACAATGAAATAGATGCTTTGTGAGTGTGTCATTAGGCATGTACTCTGAAACAAGCAACCTTTCATCTCCATCACAACAATAACCTATCAGATTCACCATTCTTGTATGCCTCATTTTTCCTATAGCCTTAGCTTCTTCCTGCATAATAGAACAGTTTTGGTATAACCATAAGAATTAGCTATAGATCTTAAGCTGAAACCTAGACTAATGAGACTTGATATCCACGTCATTGACCCACATGAACAAAACCACTGTGCCATAGGCTCTTGCTTCATGAACAAGCTATTTCGAATTAAGGAGTTTTTTGAGATACATACAGCGAATTGTTTGGGATCAGGCCATGTTGATTTCGAGAATTTTTTAATTGCGATTTGACGCATGTCGTCTCTAAGACAACCTTTGTAAACAACATTTGGTGATTGGTCGGAACAAACTGAAACGACTGCGTTTACGCTGAAATTGTCCGTGGCCTCACGAAGCTCCGCTGCGGAGAACTCGGAGAAGTCCGGGACGGTGGCGAAATGCCATCCCCTTCCGGCGCCGTCGACAGCGTCATTATTGTTACGATGACGGTGGTGCTTGTTACCGCGCTTGCCGCCACGACGGGCGGAAACGTCGTCGGAGGTTTTTTTGTACGACGGTTTCAGGAAGGACGAATGGCAGCATCCCATGACCCGAGGCGAGTCGACTCGTTAACAACTCGTTCCTCAGACCATTAAGGTTCCTAATCAATTTTGTTCTTAAGTTTTTATTTATTTTCCTCCGGTCACTTCCTCTGCTTTGATTCGCTTCTGCGACTTTCGAAATTATCCTATCTATGTTCTTGCAAAGAATCGTTGGTTTCAACAATATAAGGATTGTTTTGTCTTTTTCATCTAACTGAAAAGTCTAATTTCCCAATTTCTCGCGCGATATTTTAGGTTTTAATTTGTTTTAAAAAGAAATTTACAACAGTATATCCCTATTGTTTTTTGCTTTTTCCAGATAAAAAGTTGTTAATAAAGATTAAAATATCTGGTTTTATATAATTATTTCTAATTTAAAATTTAAATTTTATTTGAAAGAAAACAAATTGAGCATATGCCATTAACCAATTGCACAGTTGCAACATTCAGCATCTTCCTTAAAGTTAACAAAGAGAGTAAAGTAAAGGTTTTTATCCAAAATATGAATATTGTTGTTAAATATTGAAAAGCTACAGAAAAGATAATGATTAGAGGTGAGCAAAATATCTGTTATATCCGCTTCGAACCGATATTTGCTTTGATCCGATTTGAAAAATTCGGATATCCGTAAAGCTTCAGAGCAAAGCAAATAGCAAAATGTAATATCTGTACAAAACGGAGCAAATCACAAATATGTTTTTAGATAACGCTGGATATCCGATCCGATCCGTATCTTTATAAACTTATTATATATTATCATGTATATATCAATTATATTATAATTTTTATTAATATATTTTCAATTTTCTTCCTAAATTTTCAATTGTTCTTTTGATTATATAAAATAAATGACTAAATAACCAATTATAAAAAATAAATAATATGTTTAAACTTAAAATATGTTAATAAATAACATTTTATTTTATATTAGTAAATAAATATCAACAAAAGTTTTTTAGTAAAATTTAATATTAAAGTTTCAAATAGCTAATATTATTTTTAAATATAAAATATCATTTTTTCCTCATCTTAATTTTGTAGGTTTATTTTTTATAGATTTTTTTATAAAATAAAATATTTTCTTTTAGTTATTTTTACTTAATAGTTTAGATGAAAAATATTTTTTTTTATAATAAAAATTGATATACTTTCAGTTTTGTGTATATTAAACGGATCAAACTAAATATTCATAAATATCCGTAAATATCCGTAAATATCCGCAAATACTTGTAAATTTTCCGGATATCCGAAAATCCGGATATCCGTATATTTCCAGAGCAAATCAAATCATAAAATTAAATATCCGTTAAAAACGGAGCAAACTACAAATACTAAAAAATTCTCGGATATCCGATCTGCACCCACCCCTAGTAATGATTGAATGAAGTTGTGTCACTTGTCAATATATATATACCACTATTTAGAATTTGTTGAGGAAAATTTTATATAGTCTATAATACTAGAAATAGTGATACCATAAAAATATGTTTTGTATTAAATACATCATGAATTTTGAAAACTCCATTTCCTTTGTTATCAGAAACTTTTCCTTTCTGATCTCATGATAACCATAAAACTCATAACAAAGAAAATGGAACTTCAGTTCCTTTCTGATCAAATTCATAACAAAGATTAGTGGATTACTCATAAATAAAATGATTTCTTTACAAACAAAATTTGAAAAGGACTATTGACAGTTGGACTTAAAAGTGGATAAATTTCTACCTTACACTATATACTGTAAATTAAATAAATAACATCCATTTGAAATGTAATTATATTGCTCAATGCTCATTATAGATTTCTTGTAAGATATTAGCCCCCTTTTCTAGAGAAAAGGAAACAATTATACAAATAAGCACTTATTTTGTAATATTTATATTAAAAAAGCTCATACTCATATTTCTCTATTTCTAAATCTCTAGGATCAACAAAAAGATTAAATAAAATGGTAATTAGTCAAGAGTTAATGTGATATTTTTGGAATAACATATCAATGTATATTTTCGAACCACTTTGATATAGTCTTAGACAATTAACTATTTTTTTTGTAAAAAATAGGACATTGTCATAATTGTTTCACAATTTGAGATTTTCTAGATTTCGTCTAGTAGTATATTGAGTTATACATCAATATCAGGAATCTATGCCAATCTATTAAAGAATGAAAAAGTTGAAGAAAGAATAAATTGGTGAAAATCAAATAGCCTGAAGTAACGAAGGAGGGGGTTTTATAGAGGCATTTGGTTTTATTATATTGTATAGTTAAAGGGTGCTTGTAGAAACAACATATTTTGAGAAATAAATAATTTGATTAAATTGAGTATAAGAAGAAGGAGAGTGTGTCCGCCAAAAAGATAAGAAGGGCGAAGTTCATCTTGATCCTTCCAATTTGTTGGTCACCAATCATACATATACACCTTTTTTCTTTTGATAAATATTTGTTAATTTCTCCTTGTGGGATAAAGTACTTTCTTAGTGGGCATTTTCCATTTAGTTACTTTTTTATAATAATAATTTTAGAATCATTTTAAATTTTGTATGTTTGTTTGAATGTATATAGTTCATTTTCTCCCCTACTTCTCAAAAGTTTCACCTTTTAGCCACTCCATTTTTTCCTATTTTTTAACCTGAAAACGACTTCAAAATTTATATAATCTTCCTGGTTATTCGACTTTGCCTGAGAAGGCACCCAAAGAGTTCTCTGAAACCGGTAATGAGTAACAGAACAAATATGAGTTGATAGCAAATATTTTGATATAGAAATTATGTTTTGTGTAGTTATAATACTCTTTTCAACTTACTATTTTTATGGTGTATTATCATTTCAAACTAAAACTGATATTTGAAATTTTATGAAAAGATCATACTGTTTTCAAATTTAATTTTAGAATCAAAAACTTTGAGTTGAAGTTAATATTTTAAGTATTTCTATAAATTATATAAAATTCAAAGTATATATATATATATATATATATATATATATCAAAATAACAAAAAGTATCATGTGCAGCTGCAGGTTTGTTTTACTTTTTTTTTTCTCTGCATGTTGGTGTGGCAACCAAATGATTATGGAGACTTTAAGAGGCAAAAGAATTATAATGCGCTTATCATTGGCTCTAGGAAAGTCGTTCTATAAATGACCCAAGTCTTCGTTCCAAAATAAGCATTAGCCATTTGCAATCTACGATTAGATTTAGATACATTATTAGGCGTTGAATGACTATACTACTTATTGTAGTTAACCCATTTATTTATAGCTTCGAAATTATATGCAAGTAGCTACATGATGTTAATTTTGTAGTATATTTTAGAATAGATCAGTAGGGCTATTGGTTCAATGTATCGTATGGAAGAGGGTAGAATAGTTATAAGTGCAAAGGCACATTACAGAAATTGCGATGCTTTTATTCGTTGCACATTTTGGGATAAGTTTCTTGCCAACTTTCACTGGATTTGAAACGTATAGCTTTAATTAGTGCTCACAATACCATTTTGTTAACCTAAGTAGTAGTATTAAACTATTGACGCCTCACATTTTATTTTATTTTTAGTTTTGTATTCTCTCTTTTCTATTAAGTGATGTTTAGTTTAAATTTTTGTTTGATTTATTTTTGGTGATGCCTTACGGATTATAAACTTAAGTTTGTATGCATTTCATGAAACATTACTTCCACTAAAATAATAAAAGTGCCTTTTTTATAACAAATTCTTGTTTCTTCCATTTTATAAAAATTGTTGTTTATATTTTTTCGCATACATGTAATAAAAATAAAATGTGTACCATATCTCTTACTCTAATTAGTAAACTTCAATATTAAACCAAAAAAAAGATGACATTCGAATTCTCTTAAAAAAATGATAGAATAATATCATACAACAACACCTATTCTATAGGTCTTAATCTTTCTTTTAGAGTTGTTCTCTCAAATTTTCATTTATCATTATATTTTTAACTCATATATCATTGCATATGGTCGATGTGTATATAAGTTCTTATGTCATGGAGGTGGATGTCACCTGTTTAATAGGAGCACTAACACACTCATTGGTTTGCAATTATTAAAATTCTCTAAAACCCAAAAAAAAGAAAGAAAATTATTATAACTTTTTTGTAATGACTCAATTACTATAGTATCAAACAATTTTAAAATGGTGAATAAAGTACTGAGAAACTTCACTTAAAGGAACGATTAATGTTCATTGGTAGTGGATTTATACTTATATAACCCAATAATTAGATGGCTAAAGCATTAAGCATAAAATTTACATGCACATATAATTGATGATTAGTGTTCCAAAGTGACGCGTGGACGACACGAGCAAATGAAATGGTGACATTTGCAAATTAAGGATTTCGATTTGACCATAAGAACTGTGAAATGTCGGCAGGTGATTGGGCAAATAACTCTACACCAGCTTCTTATTTTTTTTTTCTTGGGTGTGTGGGTCTAATCCAACCTTAGTGCATCTTTTGTGGCGCATTATTATATAACCTATGTATCTATTCTATATGTATGTTTATATTCCATTAATTACCTATGGACGAATATATGCACAACAAATACAAACTCATGTCGTATTTTATCTTAAATAGAGGTACCAACAAATACGTACGTCTTCTACGTTTTGTGAAAATCCGTAGATGTCGTTATTGGCCCACTAAATCGTCTCAGTGACTACTTTCCCTCGGGGTTTGGGTTCGAGGATCGGAAAAATTAATTTTGTTTTAAAATTTTGGGTGATTTTTCTAATGCTTAGAACTAACAGTATAGTCTAACCAAAACCGACTTGAATAGATCGACTAATCTTAAAGATGAGCTAACTCGACAGAGAAAACTTGCCCCATTGAATGTTTTTTTTGGATAAAAATGTTAAATTTTATATTATTTTTGAATTGAAACAGAAATTACAAAGAAAATTTAGAATATAGAAAAGATTTTAGGTTCAGTAGTCATATTGAACATGTTATTTAAAATTGTAACCATATTAAAAGTAGTACTATAATATTTTATGTATAATATATAATAATACCAATTTAACTTTTATAGAATATTTTATTTTTCAAATTTTCTTACTATACTACGCAATACACATGATTAATAGAATATAATATATTACTTTGTCAAAAGAATGGTTTAGGTGAATTTGTTAGTTGGACTACTTTTAGTATTATGCTAATTTACTCATATGTGAAATTTATTTGTAAGATTAATTTTAAATTTGAAATATATCAAATAGTAATAAGAAGGGGGTAGGGGTGGGTTATAATTTATAGTGACTTAAGTTTAGTTTTAAATGATTTGAGTTATTCTATATCCAAAATAATTTTGGTTTAGGTTTAAAGGTTTAGGTATAGTAAGTACTGGTTTGAGTTTAATTTTAAATTATATGAATTTAATTTCAAGGATCTATAGCGGATTAAGAATTATGGTAGATAACATCATATAGTTTAGGTTCGGGGGTTTGAGTATAATAAGTACTAGTTTGAGTTTAGTTTTAAATTATATGAGTTTACTTTTAAATTATATGAGTTTATTTTCAAGGGTCTATAGTAGATTAAGAGTTATGGTAGATAACATCATATGGTTTAGGTTTGGGGGTTTGAATATAGTAAGTACTGGTTTAGGTTTAGTTTTAAATTATGTGAGTTTATTTTTAAGAGTATAACGGATTAATAATTACAGTATATAACAGCATATAATTTCTGTTTGGGGCTTGAGTATAATAAATCGTGGCTTGAGTTTAGTTTTAAAGTATGTGAATTTATTTTCAGTAGTTTATAGTACTAACATTTTTTTTTTATTAACAAGTTTATATTATTTTGCAAGATAATATAGCAAAAATAGTATAATTCAAAATAGTATAAAACAATACATAATTGGGATAATGATTAAAAAGTATAGAATTTTCTGTTTCTCTCCCTTCAATATGAAATATAGAGGTAAAAATGTCCACACAACAATGTTATAGTTACGTTCTTCATATATGATTCGATATGGTTATATCTTTAATTAGTCGACCCAATATTGCTATTCAGAAAATTGACCTTTGTTTTTTTTTAAAAACAAGTTTTATAAATACTATTTATGATTTGCAAAATAAAATAGTATAAAATGGAACAGAAAATAGTAAAAATGATGCACGACTATACCATTTTCATCTAATAGTTTATAGGAGTAATTTCGTCATTAAAATATAAGGGTTAGGATTTTTGGTTATATGTTTAATTCTAAAATCACTATAGCTATATTATTTATTTTTTATCCAATATGTATATTCAGCAAATTAACTCAAAATAGAAATATCTTTCAAACAAGGGTGCAATTACAAAATGGAAAAAAAAAAGACAAACTAAACCTACACCAAAGCTCATTTGCAAAATCTTGAAGATCAAATACTGATTCCAAACAACTTATACTAAAAAATTTGCACTATTTATGGAGCATCCATTGAATAATGATATTTACAGCTTTTCCGAAAACAGGCACAAAAATGAAAATGTTCCAATTCATCAAATTACAAACAGCAGCAAACAAAATTTGCAGAGAAAATTTAGAAAGCAAAAAGACCAGCACCTACAGGCTACAGTCCCATTGAATGTTAACTAGGTGTCGACATCAGATTAGAAGAACCTAATTCGATTTTCTTTGTAAGAACTAAACAACACAACCATCAACACAGACGGTTACATAATAAGTTGAGGATTTTGATCCGCACATTTATACTTTTTCTTTTGTATTTTTAGAATAATATGAATATGTTTTTTTTTTTGTAAAGTATAACATGAATATGTTGCTATTTAAAATGTTTACGATGGCAGATCATTGTTGAAATCATTGTAGAAAAAATCAAGCTCTTATCTCTATGTTTTTTTTTACATGATTAGAGAGTAGACTATATTTATCATTCTACGTAATAATATAGTATACTAAATAGTATACACAATAAAAAAAAAGAAAATCTGTATAGTAATTATATAATCAACATGAAAGTAAAACGAGCTAATATTCCTTCAAATGCGGGTCACGTGCTAACCTCGTCCCTAATCCCTCACAGCAACAGATACATGGCCAGTTCACACTATACACATCCATTAGGGGTGGACACTTCGGTTTTTGGTTTGGTTTCGGTTCGGTTTCTTTGGTTTTACGGTTTATCGGTTTTACAAAAATTCAAATCATATAAAAATTATATATATTTCGGTTCGGTATGGTTTAGTTTTTTACGGTTCGGTTTAATATGGTTTGGTTTCGGTTTTTTTTCATTATCTTTTACGAAAAATTTTGATTTAAACAAATTGAAATAATAATAATAGATATGAGTGAAATAAAACAATAAGTTCAAAAATTATAATCTAAATCATAAACTTCATCAATAAGGACATATTTCAAAATAGAGAAACAAATAAATGATCAAATCTTTCATAATCAATAATTATAAAACAATAAACAAATCTAGATTAAAATTTAATACTTATAACTTTGGAACTAGAACTAGAAGACTTGAATGTGAAGAAAAATAAGTAAATCACATTATTTTTTATTGAAAAATTAAGGTTTACTTTATTATTTATATGTAGATATTTTTTATAAATATTATATTTTAAATTTATGAGTTAAGTTGGTAAATTATAAAGATAACTAAGCTCAATAATAAAATATGTACATAAACTAAATTAAGAAACTAGGAAAATATAAATTATTTAAAATTTAGTTTAAAAACTAAAAAAACCTTGTGGTTTGACGGTTTTTAACCAAACCAAACCTAAACTAAAACTATGAAAAAATGATGGCCAAATAGATTTTTAGGTTTAACCATAACCAAACTATATCACTTTTTTCGGTTCGATATGGTTTGGTTTTTTCGGTTATAGTTTTTGTGCCTACCCCTAACATCCACAAACTCCCAAACAGTAACACTGATTATAAATTTATAATGCGTTTTCTTTTTTCTCATGGCCAAAAAGATTGTGCAATTAGTTAGCTGTCTTAATAATAATAATAATAATAATAATAATAAGAAGAAGAGGAAGTATCTGTTGTGGTTTTGTCAAGTCTCCATAGGCCACGTCCTCATCCATAAAAAAGAAAGCTTGTGCATGACAAGCTGTGTACCATTTTCCTTTTTATTCTTTTGTCTTTCTATTAAGTTTCTTTTAATAATATAATATCAAGGTCAAACATCTGAAGTCTTACACAGTCAAAGATCAAACATTTGAAGTCTTGAGGGTTTTAAATGTCACAATGTCAACCAGATCATGCAGGTAAAAATCCATGTCTAATTAGAGGGTTAAACACTTAAACTTAAACAATTTAATCTTGCGGATTTTAATTTTTTTTTTATAAACCATAATCTGGAAGAAGATATCACACTGATGTTTTTAGGAACCCCTAAATCAGTAAATCGTGCTTGTAGTGCAAAGAAGACCATGATTTCACACTGATGTTTCTTTTTAGAAACTACTTTACATGGGAAACTTTTAAGTGCGCTTCAAATAGAATTGTAAATCGCACATTTATGTGTTATAAGTTGACATATACACCATAAGCGTGATGCATTTTATAACAAAATTGTTCGTCATTTACACCCAAGGAAAAAAAAATTGTTCTTCATGGAATAATCATCGGTAGAACCATCCAACATGATTTAAATTATTGTATATAAATAGATAGTTTTTTTTTTTTTGGTATGCATGTTATATAAATAGATAGTTAGACATCCATATAGTAATAAATGCATTTACAACAAGATTGTTCGTCATGGAATCATCGGTAGAACCATCCAACATGATTTAAATTATTGTATATCAATAGATAGTTAGACATCCATGCATATAGTATATTATTACTATATAACGATGCATTACTATAAATTATTTGAAAATGTTTTTGAATTATTTAGAATAAGAAATAAATTAGAAGAGAAAACTCAATACATATGCTTATAATACCAAAAGAAGGGTATAAAGATAGTCTAAGTTCTAAAATTATAATAAGTGAAATAATCCATAATATTATCATGATAATATTTAAAGAACAATTTGATGAGCTAAATTATTGGAGGAATATTGAGCAGTAAAAGACGTCAACTTACAAATCTAGAGAAAGAGTTTTAACAACTTTATTTCTGCAGTGAGCTTACACCAAACAAAATTCCTTCTCCGAAAGGCGAAAGCAATCAAGTAATTAACGAAAAAAATTAAAGAGAATTTATTATTTAAGCCTCGTTTTTTTTATTTAAAGTAGAGAGAAAACGCAAGAGGTAAAAGGCTAACGTGCGCCGCCAGTGACCGTTATCTAAACGGCGCCAAATATTCTGAGGGGTGTCTTTTCACAATAAAACGCAAACAAAAACCCACTCCCACTTTCTCCTTTCCAAAAAAGGAACACTCACCCACACAAACACACATACACCACTTTCTCTCTCTTTCTTTTGCCGGCGAACATGGAGAAAGGCTTCTCTCCCGTCGGTCTCAGAGTTCTTGTTGTGGACGACGACCCAACCTGGCTCAAGATTCTCGAGAAAATGCTCAAGAAGTGTTCTTACGAAGGTCTCTGCTTCTTTATCTATGTGTCAAGACTCCTTCCTCAACAGTTACCTGAGATTCTTCCTTAACTTACTCTGCTTTGAATTAACTCTGTTGCAGTCACTACATGTGGGTTAGCTAGAGAGGCTCTGAGGTTGCTGCGGGAGCGCAAAGACGGATATGACATCGTGATCAGCGACGTCAACATGCCTGACATGGATGGCTTCAAGCTCCTTGAGCATGTTGGTCTTGAACTGGACCTCCCTGTCATAAGTGAGACTACTACTTTTATTAACAAGATCTTGAGTAATAAAGAAACAAAAAAAAGGTTACTAATCTTGTTCTTGTGTTGCAGTGATGTCGGTGGACGGAGAAACCAGCAGGGTCATGAAAGGAGTTCAGCATGGAGCGTGCGATTACCTCTTGAAGCCGATAAGAATGAAGGAACTGAAGATCATATGGCAACATGTTCTGAGAAAGAAGCTTCAAGAAGTGAGAGACATCGAAGGCTGCTATTATGAAGGAGGATCTGATTGGATCACCAGAAACGATGAAGCACATTTTTTTGGAGGAGGTGAAGATGTTTCTTTCGGGAAAAAGAGGAAAGACTTTGACTTTGAGAAGAAGCTTCTTCAGGATGAGAGCGACCCATCTTCTTCCAAGAAAGCTAGAGTTGTGTGGTCTTTCGAGCTTCACCAGAAGTTTGTCAACGCGGTTAACCAAATCGGATGCGATCACAGTAAGTACGTTGGGCGACTTCAGTTTCATTCCCTCTTCCCTCTTACCTCTCCCTCTCCCTTTATCATGTCTTCTTCATAGAGCCGTGATTTTTTTCCGGTCTATTGTTTTTGGCAGAAGCTGGTCCCAAGAAGATATTGGACCTCATGAATGTTCCATGGCTCACTAGGGAAAATGTCGCAAGCCACCTTCAGGTAAAGACTTTTACCTTATTCAAAAGGCGAAGTAAAAGTGGAGATTAAGCTTTTTGTCACTTTTCTTCTTTGTGTAGAAATACAGACTTTACCTGAGTAGATTGGAGAAAGGGAAGGAGCTAAAGTGTTATTCCTCTAGTGGAGCAAAGAATATGGATTCATCTCCAAAAGATGCTGAATTGAATTCAGGCCACCAAAGCCCTGGCAAGAGCAACTATGTATTCTCTGGGGGCAATTCTCTGATCCATAAAGCAACAGAGACTGATCCAAAGCCACTTGCTTCAGCTTCTGTGTCTGATCCCAACAGTGATGTCCACATGCCTCCAAAAGCGAAGAAGACGCGTATAGGATTTGATCCTCCTCTTTCCTCAAGTGCCTTTGACTCTCTCCTTCCCTGGAATGATGTTCCAGACCCACTTGAATCCAAACCCCCGATTCTGTATGAGAACAGCTTTCTCCAGCAACAACCATTGCCTACTCAAAGCTCTTATGTTGCAACTTCTGCACCGTCTCTCATGGAAGAAGAAATGAAACCTCCTTATGAGACCACGGCAGGAGGAGGAACTTGTGTGAATGCGGATGAGTTCCTCATGCCACAGGACAAAATCCCTGCTGTAACCCTCCAAGATCTGGACTTGTCCGCTCCTTCTGCCATCTCATCCATGAAGCTGCAGGAGTTCACCTCAAATGTAACCAGCAACACACAGTCGATCTGGGAACTTCCAGAATCACATCACTCTGGCTCTTTAGACACTGACTTAGACTTGAGTTGGCTACAAGGCGAGCGGTTTCTTGCAAACATTAGTAGCCCATCACTCATATACGAGCTCCCACCACACCTTTGGTTTGGAAACGAGCGGCTGTCCGACCCTGAAGAGTATACCCTCATGGTAGACCAAGGTTTATTCATATCTTGACCTTGTTCCATTAACTTCTTTTTCCGTATATTGGTTGGTGTAATGCAGAAAGATTTTGTGGGTATACCTGAAAATTAATCTTGCTTTCCCAAGAACCTTCCATGATCGAATGCATGTACAATAATCCTCCAGTGTCGTAGGCTAATTAAACCAAACAGTTGGATGACAATGATAAGACCACATGTTTCATACCGCTACTTAAGTTCTTCACACTGTCACATCGGTTTCCCTTTCACGTGTTTCTGCTTTGAAGGAAGATGCTTGACCTGTCATGTCTTGAGAATAAGATCTCTACACATTATTGTATCTATTGGCAACTTAACAGTTTTCTCCTCCTTCAACATCTTCGAATCTTCTTTAGACATCACAGGCATGGCAAAAAAAACTAATCTACCACTCCTACACATGGGGGATTCTTCTCTAGATTCTGCCTGACACTTCTAGCTGTTGGGGAATCTGTCCTATAACCTTAGAATCAGAGTTCAGAATTATAGAGCATATATATAAATGAGTGGTAGGAACATGCTCTTCATCCAAAATATCTAACATTTGCAACCAATTCCAAGATGGGAAACTAGTAACTACAGAAAGTTTTCAACTATCTAACATCTGCTACCAAGAGAACTCTAAGCAGGCAATCGATTGCTCTAATCCATTCATAATAAATCAATACAAAGCTACTACATCGTATTGCAATGTACAGAAAACCAGATGTCATTTGTAGTGGGGAGAGCTAAAGTTTTTTTACCTAGTGGAGTGATGAGGGAGGTTCTACTTTATCTTTGCAAATGGTCTCTGTTCTCTCTCACCGCCACCTTCATGCAGCTTTTGAAAATCGCATCCAAGTTCAGGACTTCTTGGGAATATACAGTGAGAACTTTTCCAATTTTCGACTACTATTACTTCATTAATGTCTAAGAAAAGTTGTAACCAACGGCTCTTTTTTTCAACAAATCTACAGATACAATAAGTTATATGTTACAAGAGATTTAAGAGAAGTTGTTTCTCTGAGAGGTGTATAAAGAAAATGTGCACAAAACAGCGGGGCATCTTGTCGTATTCCAGTGACCTTCTGCAGCCCGTAGCATGACGGTCGAGACATCAAAATCAGCACATCATGTGTCAATCGTTCAGCCTTGGACCCTGGAAAGTTATAATATCATACCATTTTGGTTAAAAGACACCAAATCTTACTAGAAATGAAGAGAAGAAACAGTTTATTACTTACTTGGCTTTCTCATCCGGGCTTCCTTCAGTCTCTTCATCAGAACCAGGATTCAGCGATGATATCTTCCCAAACGACTCTTTCGCATCCCCAAAAAAGTCTTTCACTTTGTCGAACACTGTTTTAAGCTGGTCTGGCGTTGGGAGCTGTGATTATTCAGGACAAAACTCAAATGTGTTAGAGAAAACGTAAATGACAGGACCCTTGTTGGTCTCATTGTCTGGTTTCGAGAGCTGATCTCAAAGTAGTTGTGTAGCTCACCTCGATAACATCTGAGGTACTTAGTGCAGCTCTCATATTTCCATTTTCCTGAATGTATAAATGTATAATGCAGTCATAATTAGTGAAACAAAACAAACAAAAAAGAGAAACTTTCTTATGGTTTCGCAGAGACTTCAGAGTTTATAAAACAAAACAATAAAACAGAGCTACCAATAACCGAAGACAAAAGTTTACAGAGGACTTACAACAAGTTTGTAGCCATATCGAAACTCTGTAGCTGTCCGCAAGACACGATGCTGCTTTATTGCTGTCTTTTGAATCTCCTTCTCATCCTGTTGAAAGATGAAAACAACAATCAGAAATCAAATCTAAAGAAATCACACAGCCTTTGAGAGTGTTGTTTTATATACACCAAAATAAATGATAAGCAGGTTCTCTTTGCTTACTCTGTAAATAACAGCGGCAATGTTTCTTGCAATGGTGTCTTTGTAGATATACTTCCCCAAGAGGTTATCTTTTGCAGCTACCATGATCTTCGCAGTGGTACCACCAGCAATTATACTGAGAGGATACCAAAGATACACCTGTTCATGTCACAAGAAACACTTTAGCAACAAGAAGAGCGATTGCAAAAGGGTCAAATTGTTCAGGCCACCACAATTTATGAAAGAAATTACAAATTTGCAAATTGAAAACTGAGAGAGCTGTCCAATTTTATGCGTTTAATTCACTCCTACGAGAAGCTACTCAAGAAAGAGTGAAACAACCAAAGAAGCGATGAGAGTGAGAGAGACGAACATTGGCCATACGAATGAAGATGACGAATCTAGGGTTTCCGTCGTCTTCAATTTTAGGCATAGGAGGAGGAGTACGTTGATACTGACGAGCCGCCATACCTTTCTTCCCTTTCGCCTCCACCACAAAAACCATCCTCCGCTGCGCCGTCTCTCGGCATGTTGCCGTTCTCGAGGTGAAAAGCGAGTGTCTCGCTAAACCAACCTCTTCGAGTCTTCCCGTGTTCTTCAATGGAAGCCGAGCCAACGCGTTCAGAGACATACTCACCTCCATTGAGAGCAGTACTAGAGAAATCACACCACTCCAAGCCGTGTTCAACGGTGAGTTTTGGGGATGATGATGATTTCGTTGGATCGTACCTTATCCATTGGGCTTGCCACGTATCCAACTCCGTTAAACCGAACCAAACATTTTAAACCGGAGAGTTCTGGACCGTACTATATTCTATGTTACCAGCTTGAACCACCTGATGTCGTTCTTGGCCACTAAACTAAACCCAATCCTAATGTTCCGATTTGCAGAAAAAAACAAAACTGATTTTCTTCAAACCTCCATTTTTTTTTCCACCACTACGATGGTGATTTGAAGTTTATGGTTCAACATTTTGGGACATTTGTTTGGTTTTAAATAGGGCAATGAAGGTAACAAACGAATGAATGATTCCAACTAAACCGTTTGGTTCTCTCAACACATTAACAAACAAATCAATAAAAAGATGTCTCTCCCACAACAACAACAAAAATTGTTCAGCTTGGCAAAACCAGTCGATGGAACCACTAGGGAGATTCTAGAGTTAGGTGCAGATATCATCACAAGGTATATTTTGTCAGGCTATCGATGAAAGCTTCTGTTGATGGTTCTCTCCCAAGAAAACTGGTGAGAAGTTCCATGGCATCTTTGCCTCCTCCAGGTGCCAACACCTAAAGAAGAAAAGTGGTTTTTACAACATTCACAGACTAATAAATCAAAGAATAAAACAAATAAACTTCTCATTATCTTTTTACTTTGTCTCTGAACTGCATGCCCGCATACAGATTCGGATGCCCATCACCAAATTTTGAAGCGTAGATATCAGCAGCAAACACCTGCCGAAGTAAAGCGGATCCTCGGATTAAAACAATCAGAGATAATCAGCGCGGATTTATGATATAGTTCAAAGTCTCAATCATACCTCACTCCATAAACGGCTGTAACACGTTGCTTCTGAGCCAATTACAGCACGTGGGAAACATGAAGCAGGGTTTGTTCCTTCGACCACTGGTAGACCTAACATTACCTACAGAGAGACACGACTACGTATTATTACAGACAACTTAAACAAACCAGATTGCTTTGTGAGTTTCTGCTTTTACCTTTGGATGAAGACTCCTGATTAGCTGGTGAAAGTCCACATTATCGTCCGAATATATATATTGATCGAATAGACCTGATCATCAATGTTTCAAGCATCATTAGTCAATGCCATATTTTACCTTATCAGCGAGCTTCTAAAAAGTCCTATTACTGTAGTAAACTTCTAATAAGAACCACGATCTACTGTTCTTACTAACAAACCATTAGTCCTAACAATTGTGAGGAAATTATAATTTAAGTGAATAAAGTGCGATAAAATAAAACTGAAGAGGTATATCATCAAGACAAGTTTTGAAAGTGCCCTGTTAATAGTCACTTTGGATGGTATTCAGATAAGATCACCGAAAGAGATGTGAAGAGATGTCTCACAGTATAGAATCTCTTGAAGCGACTTGAGTGCAGAGAAAGAATAACGCCAACGTTTGAGTGTTTTGCAGACTTCATCTACAAGTGGCTTGGTGATATCCTGCAAGTCCAACGAATTAAATAAAGCAGTCACAGTCTAATAGGGCATCACGAATAAATCCCAAGTTGAACGAAATTATTGTGACTAGTGGACCAGAGAACAATTGTCATCAAAAAATTTCGTGAAAAAGCACTCACCTGACGATAGCCTGATATTAACTTCAAGGTGAAACTCTCGTAACACCTGGAAATACCAGAATCATATTCCCTCTGTAAGGATGTGTGTTAATACACAAAGCATAAAACAAATATCAAAAATCAATTTTACTTGCCAGTTTTCCAGTAATTGAGAAGGGATCTCCCGAAAGTCAGGGACAACACGTAGGCCTGAGAATCTAGCAAATGAAGCACGATTGCAGATATGTTGGACCTATTTGCCAATTGATAGCAAGGAAAATCAGCTGATAACATCCCTTGATATAAAGATATAATTTATTCTACAGTTCCAAGTAACAAATCTCATTCACGTACCACATGGCCAAACTCATGAAAAAGATTAACCACCTCAGAGAATCCCAATGGCAGAGCTTCACCACCACCATCCTTTGCAAACTGTGCAATAAGCAACGCCACAGGAATCTGGGGATAGAAACAGAAACAAAATACATGCCAGAATACGAATACTAACACGTTAAAATACATCCAAACAAGATCCCAATATCAATAAATATTTTTTTAACTGCATGACACTTCGACATAAAGGTCCAACATGGATCTAGGATTGTCACCTGACATGAACCATTAGAGAACAGTGCATTGTTCTGAAGAGCCACCACACAGCTGTGACTAAATTTCCCTTCCCTGTCCAGCAAAATTATGCTCACAACTCAAAAAAAAAAAGGGCTCTGAAAGTGAAGAGGAGTGATGAGCTAAGGCTGCTAACGGACCTTGTAAACATGTCAAGATAGAAATAACCCAAAAGCTTCCCAGACCCAGAGTCAAAGACGGCAAAAGCTCGAACGTCATAATACCAGACATCAGTATCTGCAGCCTCCTCAATTTTTATTCCTGCATGGAGAAATTTATAAGATTTATCAGCAAGCTTGAAATATATAAATGGTATATATCCTCAAGCCACATAAATAAATCAAAGAAAAATATCAAGACCCCAAAAGATTTAAGAGTACAGACTTTAAACTCACCAAAAAGATCCTGGCAAATTTTAAAGATCCCCGGAAGGACCAAACTGATAGGAAAATATTGTCGAATATCTCCAAAATCAAGATCAAACTGCAACTCCTCTACCCGCTTTATATAATATAAAAGATCTTCTACACCAAACGGAAGCTCCCCTTCTTCTTTCCTCTGATATCAGAACCCGTCAGTTAAGTATTGAGGAAGGCATCACCTATTACATGAAATACCAACATGATATTTTACCTTCAAATCTTTCAAAATGGAAAACTCTCTATCAGCCAAACCCGTTAAACTGGAAGAGATGTCCTCCAGGAAACTGATCACCTGGACACGAGAAGGGAGTCAGTACAAACGAGATAATGAAGGATGATAAACTAATCACTTGAAGGATCTTTCACAAACCCTCGTTGATGTCTTTGACATCCTACAATCAAGAGCATAATCTGCGAAGTGTGCATAACCAAGTAAGCGAGCTAATCTATGGCGCGATTGAACCTGCAGAGATGAGAATAGGAAGAAATCAACTGACTGAAGTGTGCTGCAGACTTCAGTCAAGGGTTTCTAGAATAGAATAGACAGGGAAGTACCAATTTTTGTAACATGGGAATATTGGCATCTCCGCATCTCTTTCCATATGCCGTAGCCACTGTCTTCCTTGTCTTGGCTACCTGCAAAATTTAAACGAAGAGACCAAATTTGTCAAAGGCAGACTCGAATGTATTGGCCTGGAGTGGACACATGGAGAGATACTGAAGCTGTTCTCAGCAATTAAAAAAGCCAGTATCAAGAACTGGGAAGTAACTGTATCTTCCAAGTTTTATGTCGCATGGCAATTATAAAAGGTACATGGGAATACCTTGCACAACTCTAGAATAGCTGCCACGTGACTACTTTCCAAGGTGAGCTTAAATTCCTTATTTTGAGTTTTATCCAAACTCTGCAAGAAGAAGTGCAGAAATGAGAAATAGTTCAGGAAAAAGTCATGTCTGAGACAGACAAGGTCACAGATTTGCATGTGACAGAGCAAGCTAAATAACATTTAGGGTAAACACCTGAAGAAATTCTAGAGGCAAACCAGCCAGCTCAAGCTCAGTGAAAAAGAGACAAGAACTATCTTCATTTAAATTCTGAACATATCGCGAGCTTAGCTCATCAATTTCGTTTCTCAATCTCTCCACTTCTTTTCTTTTTATTGTAGTAAGGTTCAGACCATTGTGCTCGAAGTCTCTAACCTGTCACTGATAAAACAGAAATCAATACATTCGTTCAACTCACAGGGCTTAGCAAAGACAACAGACTTGCAAATGTGCTATAGAATAAAGGTCGTAGTTCCAACTGATTTATAATAGAGCAACTAAAGGAAGACCATGAATACAAAACCTCTGGTCAAATCCTTAAAGAGTGTTATTTGCTGGTCGAGGTGGATAAGAAAATCTCAAAAAAAATTGTGACATACATCGAAAAAAAAAGTACGATTCTTATACGCAAGTGGAAATGTTGGTACACAATTCAAGGCTGGTCAATCAACTTTCTACAGCACAAGTAAAGAGAATTAAGTACAAATCAATAGAACACAGTCATGGACCAACAAAATATAGAACTGTGAAGGAGAATAAGAAATGGTAACAACTACGCTAACGGGACAGATCTACATTAATATTGTATTTATAGGAATGATTTGTTGTTGGTTAAGGCACTACATTGCGTTAGAAGAAGGAATGTCATACATTTAGAAGAGGTTTGACTCCTTGAACGTGTGATATACTGAAAACCGTCAGAGCAATACATAGTAATAGCACATGATTCAGTTTTCCTTACCAGACACTGTAGGTAGGATTTAGCTTCCGGGGCAATTGATTCTCCCTTTGCAGCATAAGTTTTGATAACTCGGTAAACATCTTCACGTTTTCTGATAAGCTTGCACAAAGATATGATATTCAGCTAACATATGAATTGATAAAAGTGCATTTCCCAAATCCAAGACAGTAAGAACAAAAAAACAACAAGAATACACAAACACCTGCAGGACAGAATATGAGCGTCTATTCTCTGCTCTGCTTCAGCACTGGCTTTACGAACATTATCCTGAGGAGATAACATCTTAGGAATCACACAGCATTGTATAAGAGGAAGTTGTCTTGCTTCCATTTCTGCCAGCGGCATTACAACATTCTCATAAGAGAGCTACATGAATCGAACAATTCAAGTCAGAGATATTTTCCATATCCATCCATCTCCACAAAAGCTGAATCGAGCGAGAGTGTTTCAGATTTCCAGTGATTTCGACTACCTTATTTAGAGGAAGCAAGGCAACAGCATCATGAACTCTCGTGGACTTGGAAATGATTTCGTCAGCTAGCTCGAGAATCTCCCTTGCTGATAGGTTAACACAAACAGAATCACACCCAGGAAGACCTAAATTTCAATTGAAAAAATAATCAAATACGGCATTGTAAGATGCGAATTCATAAAAAAAAAAAAAAAAATGCGGAATCGAGCCGAGGGAATCTGAAAGGAAGAAGACGGGTCAAGCATTCGAGGGGGACCGAGAGAGCGTGTACCTTTCTTCTTGGATTTTTCCTTGTGAGACTTGAAAGCGAAGATGGCGAAACTAGCGGCGAGTCCCAAAAGCCCAGCCGCTCCGGTGAAGGTTACAAGTTTGAGCTTCTTAGGATTAGATCCTTCCATTTTCTTGTCGTTTCCATCGTTTTCTACCATTTTCCTCTGCTATTTTCTCTCTCGAGGAAAAAAATTGCGACTGGGAGGGAAAATGCTTAGTGTAGTAGTGACCTTCGCTCGCTGATGGTCCCAGGCGTGAAAGTGAGGCGGACGGGAAAATCTTCGGGTGGCCACGTTAATATTTTTGATTGATCCTTCATTTTCTTTTTTAGTTTAATTCCAGTATATCTACAAAGTAATCAAAATATAGATTTAATTTATATTTATGGAATACAAAATTATTATATTCGTTGTTGATATTGGTAAATCAAGCATACGTTAGCAATATATACGTATGGGGTGCAAATGGTTGAATGTTAAGAGTAATAAGAGAAACAATGATGAGTGGAAAAAAATAAATTGAATAATTTTATGTTTAATTTAGTTTTTTTTCAACTGAGTTACTCTCCTATTTTGTAAATTCTAGAGGAATAAGGTTTATTTTTCTCTAATTTAGTGGAATCTAGTTTAATTTGAAGGAACATTCATTAATCTTAAATGGTAGAATTTGAGAGGAATCCAAAAGAATATACAATTTCTCTCAATTTTATTCCTCAAAAGTGTCAACTATTTGCATCCATGGTCTTTTTAATGAGATTAGAATTTTGTTATTTTTTTTATCAAATTGTGAACATATTTGTAAGTTCTTTTTAACAAAACAACTTTATAAAGATTTTTCATTTTTGTATATAAAAGTTTTCATGTATCTTTTTAAAAAATTGATTTCTTGGCTATCAGAACAAGTCCATTAACAAATTATATATGGATCGTTAGTCAAAACACGGATACACCCATTAATCTTTTTGAATTATCTACAAACTAATAGGTTTTAATATTTAGCCGATGCAAAATATTTCTATGATACGAATGTTTTGTCATTTTAATAAATAGTGTAAATGGTAAAAAATAATGAAACTATGTGAATAAGTGATAGTTCATTACTTATATAATGAGTTTTTGAAAATTAGCTAATTTTTTTTAAAAAAATCAAGTGGTTGATAAAAAAATAAAATTAAGTGATCCAAATTTTAATAATTAACAGTGATCACATATTTCAAAATTACTTTGGGTATATACTGTTTTTAATATACAATATTTCTTTTTATCAAAACTAAAATAGATTATTGAAAATCTTACCCAATAGATTACTGATAAAAAGTTAAAAACACATTATCTGCTAAGTTGTTATCCATTTTAACCAACAAACCTTCTATAATCTTCTCTTTTGCCAATCGTAATTTCGTGTTATTATTCTACTTCCACGTAATCGCCATGAAAAAGACTAGCCGAAGCATAAAAATGGATCACGCTATAGGCCCATTTAAAGCCCATGAGTTTCTTCCGCTAATCTCAAGCAGGTCATCCATATACGTTGAACACTAATACCAAAAAACCCTTAGCAAAATTCTGTAGCTGGATCCCGATTTCTTCTTCTCCGGAGAAGATTCGACCAAGCCATGGCTCCTAAATCGAAAGAAAAACCGAAAGCCCCGACGTCACAGCCTCCTCCTGCAATGGAAGATCTCTTCACTTCTCTTAATAGGCATATCGAGCGAGATGAACTCGAACAAGCCGTTAGGGTCGCTGATCAAGGTTTCCAGATTCTACCTCCTCTCCTCCCTCCTGTAATTCTGATTTGATTTTTTGGTGAAATTGAAACCGTGTTTTTTGTTTCAGTTCTATCGATTGCACCTGCCGATGTGGATGCGATCCGATGCAAAGTTGTGGCTCTTATAAAAGACGAGAAGATCGATGAAGCTCTCTCCGTCATTCAATCGTCCCACAATCTTCCAATCGATCTAGGGTTTGAGAAGGTCAGTTTCTGATTAGACTAATTTTGCATCAAATCGAATTACATTGTAATTAGATTTCTTAGATTTCCAGATGCATGTTGTAAGCTTATTGGGTGGGCTAATGGTTTTTCTCTTCTTCTTGTTCCCTTCGATAGGCGTATTGCTTATACCGTCAAAACAAGCTTGATGAGGCGATTGTGTGTTTGAGAGGTCGAGAGAAGGGTTCAGAGACTTTGCTTTTGGAGGCTCAGATTCTGTACCGTATGAGGAAAACAGATGCTTGCGTGGATGTGTATCGGAAACTGGACAAGTCCAAGATTGAATCGGTAGAGGTCAATCTCGTCGCAGGGTTGGTTTCGGCTGGGAGAGCTTCTCAAGTGGAAGGAGTATTGGAGTCTTTGGGGATCAAACCAACCAGTAATTTTGAGTTGGCTCATAACACTGCTTGCTCTTTGATCGAAAACAATAACTTCGACGACGCGGAACAACTTTTGCTGGCTGCACGGAGGTATATCACAGTAAATCTCTCTTTTTTTTCTTATAATATCCTTACGATTGTTCATTGTTTAGGCAAAATTGTTCCTCTAGACACACCTCTAGCTTTAATGCAATCGGTTGATTAGCTGTTATCACTGAACTTTTACTGTTTGGTCTCAGTTCTTTCTTGTCATATCATTTACTTTTATTCGTTTTCCCATCAATATCCAGCTTTTGATTATCGCACCAATTTTAGTGTGATGATTGTATATTTCTGTATCTTTATCAACACTTCAATTACAATGTACTCATTTTTCTGATAAAGATACTGTTGGTTTGAGACAGAATTGGTCAGGAATCCCTCACAGATGAAGGTTTTACTGATGAGAGTATTGAGATTGAGCTGGCCCCAATTTCTGTCCAATTAGCATATGTCCAACAGGTAAATTTTTTACGCTGTTCTCGTCTTGTTCTTAATCTCCTGTCAGACTCTACTCCATTCGTTAGTAGTAACGTTGTTTTTTTTTCTTCTCATAAGGTCCTTGGACAAGTTCAAGAATCCACCAGCGCTTACGTAGACATCATTAAACGAAACCTGGCCGATGAATCGTCACTTGCTGTTGCTGTGAACAACCTTATCGCCTTGAAAGGTTCCAAAGATGTTGCTGATGGCTTGAGGAAGCTTGATCGGCTGAAAGAAAAAGACTCCCAAAGCTTTCAGCTTTCCCAAGAACTTGATGCTAAGCTTTCACAGAAACAAAAAGAAGCTATATATGCCAACCGCGTCCTTCTGCTCCTCCATGCAAATAAGATGGATCAGGTCCTTTTTAACTTGAAATCTTGTTTTATCCCTCTCTGTTTTTTCATCTTTGCGTATATGGCTTGACTAATTAAGAGAATCTCTTACCCCAGGCACGAGAGCTTTGCGCTGCACTGCCGGGTCTGTTTCCTGAGAGTGTTATTCCTTCATTGCTTCAAGCTGCTGTTTTGTTGAGAGAGAACAAAGCTGCCAAAGCTGAAGAACTTCTGGGACAGTTTGCTGACAAGTTCCCGGAAAAGTCGAAGCTGGTTCTCTTGGCCAGGGCACAAATTGCTGCTTCTGCGAATCGACCTCAGGTAGCAGCAGAGTCCTTGTCCAAAATACCTGACATCCAGCATCTGCCTGCAACTGTCGCCACAATTGTTGCACTCAAAGAGCGTGCTGGGGACAACGATGGTGCTTCTGCTGTTCTTGACTCAGCAATTAACTATTGGTCTAACTCGATGACCGAGAAGAATAAGCTTGGCATATTGATGCCGGAGGCTGCTTCCTTCAAGCTCAGGCATGGTCAAGCGGAAGAGGCTTCACGGCTATACGAAGAGATTGTGAAGAACCACAAAAGCACAGACGCTCTGGTTGGTCTCGTGACAACACTTGCTCGGGTCAATGTCGAGAAAGCAGAAACTTACGAGAAACAGCTAAAGCCTCTCCCCGGTTTGAAGGCTGTTGATGTGGATAACCTAGAGAAGACCTCTGGCGCGAAACCCATGGAAGGCGCTTCTGCTGCTGCTGATTCATCGATGCAGGAAGAAGTGAAGAGCAAGGAGAAGGCAAAGAGGAAGAGGAAGAGAAAGCCAAAGTATCCCAAAGGATTCGACCCGGCAAACCCGGGTCCACCTCCGGATCCTGAAAGGTGGCTTCCGAGAAGGGAAAGGTCCAGTTACAGACCCAAGAGGAAAGACAAGCGAGCAGCTCAAATCCGTGGCTCGCAAGGCGCAGTGACGAAGCAAGATAAACAAGAAGCAGCTCCTTCAACTTCAAAGTCAAACCAAACGACCACTAAGACGTCCACTAAGAGTGATCATCCGAAACCTTCTAAGGCCTCAAAAAAGAAGTCTAGGAGATGAACGAAACAAAGCTTAAAGATTATCTCGTTTTTCGTAAAAAAGAGACTACATAAAATCACAACACAAGAGCTGAATTTTCTCTGTTCTTTTTTTTTTCTTTCTGGATTTATCAAGTTTTGAGATTTTTGTTAGTTTATCGTTTTGCGTTTTGACTGAATTCTTTTGCGTTGATGATTTATTAAATCAAGATGAATAGCTTAAAAAGAAGAAAATGAATCGATTAATTACAAAAGATTAACAAGGGGATATACAAATGAAATGGTGGTTTGGTTAATCTCTAATAGTCACTTTTCAGATTTCTTGCGGAGATCCTTTATCCATTTGAACCTAAGTATGGTCTTCGCAAAACGTCTTTTGCTTCTGTCTTCTTCTTTCTTCTTCTTCTTCTTCTTCTTCTTTTGGCTCTCATCTTCATTCGTTGAAATCGGAAGAGGGTCAGGGTTCTGATTATCCCATTGATCAGCCCACGATAGTCCCGAATCCATCTTCTTCTCTTCTTGCAGATATTTTGGAATCAAAGAAGCATTAGCTTAGAGATGAACAAAGCATCTTTAATTCCTTATTTATAGCTTTCTTGTTCTTGTTACTCTATTAGTTTTCAGTTTTTCATTTTCTTTTCGGTTATTATTGGTAACCAACTCCTATTTTATTACATTCCTCTCTGTTTTTTTTTGGTCATCTGCTTGGTTTGTACAAAGAATCAGTCTCTTCTCTCCATTTTGTTTCTCTCTGACTAAAAAATTAGAACATCTTAGGTTTAACTGTCTTCACCTATTTTTACAACGAAACCACATCCAAAGAAGTCCTCTGATGAATTGTGTTACATGTTTAAACCAGTTTCATAAACTACACACAAAGATGAATATCATCTTCCAATTCATAAAAAAATCAAAAGATATATAAAAGAGATTCCAAATCCCAATCCTAAAAGAACTCAACATGATCAGCGATTTCTCTGCATACTAGTTTCGATCCAGCAGCCAAACTAATGCTTTTAGCAATAGCAAGCCCCGTTCGCTTATGCGTAGACGATGGCTCATACTTTCTCACCTCCGCATCATCTTTCCCTAACAACAAAGCCTCCCTCGCCGGAATCACATTCTCCCACCAAAACTCCCTCAACACCTCATGTATGATCCTCCAGTAGCTCCGGTCTCTCACCACGCGGAAAACCGAGCTCCCGTTCTGCGTCCAGCAGTACAAGTCGACCCACTCACGGTCCATGATCTCCATCTGGCCCTGCATCTGAGGCATGTAGTAGAACGGGACTTTCGACCAGGGCAACACAGTGTCGGTTTTCCCTTTGTTATACGGACACTTCACTTCTAGGATACCGGAATCGAGGACTCCGTCCGGCGAAGCGCCGAGCCAGTGAAGCTGTTCCTGAGAGTGAAGAGCGAACCCCATTGAGCCCACCTCGCATCCCATGATTCTCTTGTACCTCTCTATCGCAGCTGGTTCCATCTGTACACCCCAGTTCATAGCAAACCTGGCGGAATCATCCACGACTCGTGACTCCGAGTCGTATACTTTCTCGTGCCAGAGCTCAGAGCGACGGTTCTTCTTCCAGAAGCCGAGCGCTGTGCTGAACGTGCTCGTGGTTAGCTTGTCTTTCCTTAGAGCAAACCATTCTTCTGATTTCTGAGGGATGTCTGATGGTGAGAGATGGCTTGAGACAAGTAATGAAGAACGGGGATGAACAACAAGAACGGGTAAGCTTGTTTGAGAGATGACTTGTAAGGCAGTGGAGGAAAATGACTGTGAACTTGTTCTGCTCCCAAATTGTTTTCTTGATGAAATCGGTTTAGGGAGAAGAGTGTGTAACCCAGAAACTGAGCAAGTCCACATAGCAGAAAGAATCATGGTGTTGAAAGCAACTTTATTCGGTTTCAAGATCCTACAGAAACCACACACTGTTACAAAGGTTAGAGGAAGGAATCATCTTGCAAACAAAGATATACTGAAAGTTTCATAAAACTTATAAAACCATTCCAAATACTTCTCAGTTACAAGAATGTTTGAAGATCCCAGAACAACAAACCCTTAAATTTTCTACCCAGAATAAGATGAAAAAACCAATCTTTCGACTCCCGAGTTCATCCAAAAAAAGGGGAATTTGATTTCGAGATACTTCTCTTAATCACCGGTATGTTACAATTCAAAAACCCAAAAACACTTGCGATCCTGCTTCTTGAGACTCCATTTATCCAGAAAGCGAAAATGAATTACAAGTAGACAAAAAATCTGAAGCCCACAAGGTGTTCGATGAAATTACCAGAACTACAATTCAGGGAGAGAAGAGCTCTGACATTACGAGACGAGGAAGAGGAAATGGAAGATATTGATTTAGTAGATGGAACTTGAACTACCGTCATCATCAACAAATCACATTTTACAGAAGACAAAAGAGAGAGGTTTCTAAACGGAACACGCCCCGAATTAAAAAAAAAAAAGCGGATAAGAGAAGTTGAAGAATGTGTTTGTTTTTCCGACTGATTAAAACCGTGTCGTGTGTTGCGAAGCCCAAATCAGTTGTTCGGTTAATCTTCATTGAAGCCCAATCATTATCGCTTTTCGGACCAATGTTTGTCGGGTGTTCAATAAAAATTTAACGAACCGATCTGATCCGAACCAAATCGAAATAACCAGTCCAAAAATCGAACCATATTTTTATTACGGTATAAATGGATTCACTTTTTTATATAACCGACAAGCCAAAAATCAAAACCAAACCGAATTGAAAAAAAAATTAATGATTTAAAGCAAAATTTCTTTATAAAATAATAATATATTTTACTAAAAATCGAAACGAAAGTCAAAATTAATTCTGAATCAAACCATCTATAATATAAATTCGACTTTAACTTAAATAGAATAAACCAAAAAATCAGAAAACCGTAATAATCAATCTAAAACCGAACCAAAATCACTTTTAGTTTATAAAATCCAGCTCACGCCAGTGTAACCTTCGCATTACGCATGTTACTTCTTCATCTAGTGTCTCTTTGGAACCTAATTTGCTTGTTATCAAGAAACCCCCTTGGACCATTAATAGCTTAATTTGGTACAGAAATGCTTAATCGTCTCAGAAGAAATTTACATTAAAAAATTGACATTAACTACGGTGCTACAAAACTTTAATAACCATCCATGTAATCAAGAATCAGTCTATGTCAAAAAAAAAAAAATTTCACTATAAAAAATAGTTCTCTCGGTAACTGCTAGCAGTGCTACAACTACTTGAGCATATAAAATAAAAATTAAGATAAAGTTTCAGAACTCGTCTAAATAAAATAAAAATAATCAAAATGAAAGCAAATTATCAAAGGGTGACGATGATACAGCTTAAAACGTCAAAGGCCCGGGGTACTGTAAGAAAATTCGACCATACAATCTCCCCACGAATCTTTAATCCAGAAATTCCAATGCGCTTCTCCAACTTTATCACCTCACACCGAATCCTCTGCTTTGGCCTCTCCCACAACATTGGAGACTCGTCTGACCAACTGCCGCAGCAGAGACGTGGCCTCTTCCGCACCACCGGCATATATGGCCGCCTTGCCCCTGGCTCATACGTTACAAGTACGATTTGTCCACCATGGTTAGCTAAATGGATTGCTGTACCACTCTTATCTTCCAAACCCTTAACAACGAACCACTTCCTACGCTCTGAGTCACACCATCTAAGCTTACCCCCCAAAACACAAAACTTTACATTATCTATAACGCACCAATCAGTTCGTCCATACGAATTAGATTCTGGACCAAAACCAAACTTTAGAACTTCCTTCCATCTTTCCTGCTTGGGATCATATGCATACTTCTTATGCTTACTTTTAGCGTATATCTCTCCTCTGCGAAACCCAACCTTAGCGTTATCATCACTAGGGCTAGGCAATGGCTTCCAAGTCTGAGACTTTAGGTCAAAACACTCCGCACGATTCTTGGATCCCTCTGTTCCTCCAACTACATATATCTTTCCGTCTATATAAGCAGACTCGGCGCTTTTCCTTGCTACCGTCATATCAGGTGCATCACGCCACGTGTGAGTCAGACAATCAAGCACACGAACGGCCGAGGAAGGCCGCTCCTCGTCGTTGATGGTTCCGCCCATTTGGTAGATTTCGAAACCGACGGCTAAAGTTGTTGGCTTCTGTGGTGGAGGAGAAGCAGAGGAAGTTGGTTTTGTGATACGTCGTGGTAAGCTAAACGTATCCTCAATCTCCTTATCGGTAAGTATTGTTTGATCAAGAGTGTACCACCGATCGTAATTAGTGTTTGACCTTTGGCTTATGTAGAGGCAAGGCTCTGTGTTTCCGATCTCGGAGCGAACCGCGTAGAGATCAGGGGAAGAGAGGAGAGAGCGGATGGTCTTGGAGACTAAGGAGAGTAAACTATAGTGAGATTTGGAGATGCGAGCTAAACAATTCAGAATGATTTCATCTGGAAGTGATGTAAACGACGGAGGAGGACTTGTTGTAGTATTCTTCCTCCTTTTCTGCGGCGGTGGTTGCTCCGCTTCCGTGGCTACCAAAGTTCTTTTAGGTCTTGCATGTTGGCCCTTAAGTGAAGTCATGGTGTTTCAGTTGAGACCTAATTTCACCAAATTTTCGATATCTTATTATATATATACGACCTCAGCCTATTTAAGACGTTGACTGGGCTTAAATGCAATAGGCTTACTCATCAATAGGTTCCAAATCCAATAGCATATATATATATATATATATATTTTTTTTTTTTTTAACTAAATTTTTGCATTATATTTAAATGTATCAAGTAACCAGAGTATACAATTATTACACAAAATCTCACAACTGAGAAAACATACATTTGAGACAACGTATGAGATAATGATTAGAAAACATTCCACTTATGGAATCTTAAAATATGCTTAGATAAATGCTTACACCACAGCCATGCATGAAGACCATACTCACAAGAGGGAAGACACTCTAGAGATATTTAACAACGTGGTCCACGGTCTGCTCGACCTCTATTTCTTTGCCCCTTTGCCCCTTACCATAGTCCATTGCCTCTCTTGAATTTTTAAGAATTGGATCACCCATCTCAAACTCCGAACCCCCTGAATCACAAGTGGCAAAATTGCTATCAAAGATATTCTTTTCAACTTCATTAGCTAATGAATCCAAAAGAAGAGAATTAGAGATAGTTACCAAATCAGAAGAAGAACCAAGAATTGGGGCGATGTTGATGTTAAATGCAGTATTGTGGGATTCTATTGCATTAACAGTATAAGTTGTTGGATTTGCCTCTACACATGGAGAGGCTGAAGTAAGTATAGCTGCAGCAGGTGCAGCAACAATGGTGCTTGAAGTGTCATTGGCTACTCCTATAGAGTATGGGGAGAAGCAAAAGCTAAAGGAGATCCATGCAAAGTAATGAGACTAGTAGTAGGAGTGTTAACAACTTCCGTGGCTATCGGCCATAGCCGTGACTAAAGGTTTTGAGGCTGTACACAAAACTAAAAATGTATAGTTTAATGGGTCATAATTTATAACAGATATAAATACACAAGTGTAACAAAAAAAACTAATGAAAATGTTGATAAATTGAACATTAAAAAATAAATGGAAACAATCTATGATATGAAATAATTAATTTACCATTGAGAACATGAATCTAATACTTATTCTTGGAATCCACTATAAATTAGCAAACAAGGGCATGGATTTAAATTTACCTTAAGAGTTATTTATAACGTTATATTGATAGATTTTGCTTTGATTTTATGGGAGAAATACTAACAAGTAAAAGAAATACATTTGTTGGGCCTATTTTCATCATATCCAATCCTGGGTTGACATGTTAGCAGTAGCTTTAATCCAAGCGCTGACTTCTTTATCCTTTATCTAGGCCTGTTAATAATTTTTTAGTGGACTGTTTCCGAGTAGTTGGTAATTTTTTCAAGCCAAAAATGTACTGCACTTGTCCACTTGCTCCTGCCATGCACCGCATTGATGGGACATGAGAGGAAGAAAATGTGTAAAAAAGAGAAGGTAAGGTTAAAGGAGAAAGGGTTGATTAATGGATCGAAAGGAGAAGAGAGGGATTTAGATCCGAGTGAGACCAGACCTCTGCTCGACTCTAGAGAGAGAATACACTAAATAAGAGAGATAAAGAGATGAAAAAGAGAGACTACTCTAGTCATGGTCTATTCGTTGTACTTTTACCCTCACAATATATCAGACTAGTATCACGATCTTTAGACGAGATATCCAAACCATAAACACCAACACATATCTATCCTTCCGATTTTTTGTTTTCGTAGGACATGCATTAACTTGAGTTTCAAAGAACTTTTGAGAGGGAAGTCTTTTTTCGGTTCTCTGGAGAGCCGACTTACTTGTTTGCCAGTATATGCGGGACCTAGCCAAATTCTCGCCCTAGAGCCGCATTCATCCCCCCCCCCCAAAGGACGATACTTTGAGACTCAGCTCTGCTGCCCGGACGATCACACACTCTGTAAGTATTCTGTAATTTGCTCTCGAACAGTTAGCGTTAGATAAAGGGTGGTATACCGATATGCAGTCCCACAAAGAAAGTACTCATAGCATTACCATGCAACTAGCCGCTGGTGCGTCCCAAAGCCTGCAGCGACGAAGATGATGGAAGTCTCCTGAAAGCTCCGTGCGATGGAAGTTAGAAGACAAAGCATAGTGGGAAGGAGCTATGGCATTCAAGGGTGGGCTGCCCCAAAAGTCAGACCATCGGTCCGAGCTATGGCATTCAAGGGTGGGCTGCCCCAAAAGTATTCACCCCGTGGAGGCCATACAAGACAAGGCTGGTCCCCAACGTAGTCCAAGGCTCTAACCGGTCACGAGCGCCAATGCTTCAACATG